TTATGATGGACCCGACCAAACTAAAATCGATTTTAGATTGGCCTTTACCTAAGGGACTCAAAGCCATACAAAGATTTCTTGGATTTTCTAATTATTACAGACGTTTTATTAAAGGGTACTCCTCTGTTATCGCTCCTATCACTAATATGACCAAACAAGGAGCCGATACCAAAACCTGGTCTACTGAGGCTTTATCTGCTTTCGAAACGCTCAAACAGTCTTTTGCCTCAGCACCTGTATTAGTTCATCCTGATACCTCTCTACCCTTTTTACTTGAAGTTGATGCGTCTGAAACAGGGATAGGCGCAGTGTTGTCCCAAAGACAAAGTTTAGATAAGCCGCTGCACCCTTGCGGTTTTTTTTCCAAGAAACTATCACACACTGAAAGGAGATATGACATTGGTGATAGAGAACTTTTAGCTATCATTATGGCATTAAAGGAATGGAGACATTTGTTAGAGGGCACTGTCCTCCCAGTTACTATCTTGACTGACCACAAAAATTTATCGTATATGGGGGAGGCCAAAAGATTATCTGCCAGGCAGGCACGTTGGTCTATGTTCCTTACACACTTTAATTATATGCTTACTTACAGGCCTGGTTCTAAGAACACTAAGGCAGACGCTTTGTCACGTCAGCACGAACCTATCACCTCTACAGAGGACACTTTGTTCCCTATTATTCCTGAAGTCAATATTATCGCCAACACCAATGTCAAAATACACTCTCCATTGCTCGCTGATATTATGAGCGAACAATCTCTTGCTCCCGAACGTACTCCTGTGGGCCGCTTGTTCGTGTCTCCCAAATTCCAAGTGGACATTATTCGCTGTTTTCACGATAGCAAGTTCGCTGGTCACCCCGGCATCCACAAAACTTACTGCCTGATCTCCAAAGACTTCTGGTGGCCCGGTTTACGTAGGGATGTGGAAGACTTTGTCAATGCTTGCAATGTTTGTGTCAGGAATAAACTTCCGCGGGATCTCCCTTGAGGTTTATTGCAGCCCTTAGTCGTTCCCAACAAACCTTGGGCTTGTTTGGCTATGGATTTTATTGTTGATCTACCTGCTTCCAGTAGGCATACGGTTATCCTCACGGTCCTTGACAGGTTTACTAAAATGGCCCATTTCATTCCCTTGCCTAAACTTCCGTCCTCTCCTGAACTGGCCGTGATATTTGCTAGAGAAATTTTCCGTTTACATGGTATTCCCAATGAGATTGTGTCAGACAGGGGTTCCCAATTTATTTCCCGTTTTTGGAGATCCTTCTGTTCCCAGTTGGGCATCAAACTGAATTTTTCTTCGGCCTATCATCCTCAATCTAACGGAGCAGCCGAACGCACTAACCAAAAAATTGAGCAATATCTACGTTGTTTTGTTTCTGAACACCAGGATGACTGGGTCGGTCTGATTCCTTGGGCGGAGTTTGCTCACAACAACCTTGTTTGTGGTTCCACTCGTAATAGCCCCTTTTTCTTGAACTATGGCTTTAACCCTACTGTTCTTCCGTCGGTGTCTCCTTCCCAGGGTATACCGTCGGTTGATATTCATATAGCCAACCTGAGAAAGTTGTGGGATCAGACTCGACAAATTCTTGAACGTAGTTCCGCGGTGTTTAAGTCACATGCTGATAGGCGTAGGCGGCCTGCTCCTATTTTTTCTCCGGGTGATAGGGTCTGGTTGTGTACCAGACACATTCGCCTGAAAGTTCCTTCCTTGAAGTTTGCTCCTCGTTACATTGGTCCTTACAGGGTGCTGAGGAGGATCAACCCGGTTTCTTATTTGCTGGATCTACCTCCTACTCTACGCATCCCTAACTCTTTTCATGTGTCTTTATTGAAACCTCTTGTTTGTAACAGATTTTCCTCCCGCTCTGCTCCTCCATCCTCGGTCCGTGTGGATGGTCAGGAGGAATATATCATCAAGTCCATCCTTGATTCTCGTATTTCTAGGGGGAAGCTGCAATACCTCATAGACTGGAAAGGTTATGGTCCAGAAGAGAGGTCTTGGGTTCCTGGTATAGGCGTGCATGCTCCTCGTCTTCTTCGGGCCTTCCACGTTCGTTTTCCTTCTAAGCCCGGTCCCATCCGCCCGGTGGGCGTTTCTAGAAGGGGGGGTACTGTCAGGGTACCTGTTGGTGCTGAATCCAGGGAAGACATCCTCTCTGTTTAGGGGCTCCCTGCCCCTAGCATTTCGGCATATTCCGGCCGTTTTCGCGCCGGCCGCGCTAGCTCCTCCCCCTTTTATGACGCGACGGCTAGCGTCGACGTCATGACGTCGGCATTTACATAAAGTGCCGGGAACCGCTATTCCGGACCTTTTGGGGGCGTGGTCTCTATTTAGGTAACAGGGTATTTAAAGGAAACCTTTACTACTGCTCATTGCCCTGTCGTGGTTCTAGCTTGCTAGTCACTCAGCGCGTTCTTTATCTTGTGTTTCCGGTTTTGACCCTTGCTTGTCTTTTGTCCTGTTGTCCTCTCCTCTCCTTTGACTCGGCTTGTATCTCGCTTACCTGTCCTCCGGCTCCCTCGACCTCGGCTTACCTTTTGACTATTCTTGCTTTGTCCCTACGTTAGTCCGGCCATTGCTTGAGACCACTTCCCTAAGCAGAGCGAATCTTCATTATGGCACAGAAACACTGGCTTCATTGCCAGCATGCTCGCATCTGAACGAGTGATGTCCATTATTCAATTCCTATAATCCTCCTTTACTTCATTTTGATGTTGTTAATGATTATGTTTACTCACTTTTCCCTTTTTCTTGTTTATTTAGTTTCATCTCCTTTTTTCCCTTTTCTTTCCCCTGCCCTTTATAAATAGGCAAATCAAAAAAAAAAGGGTCACTCACCCTTATAGTATTTTGATTTTCTTTTGCTTTGTGACTTCCCCTTCAGCTCCTTCTCCATCAGACCCTCGGTCTCTTTCCTGGGATACAAATGTTAAGGTTCTTGTCCACACTTTCTATGTATTTCTTCCATTACCGTTAAATCATTGCGATCAGCTCTAAGACTCTGCTTCTCATGGACCATTTCTATGGCGCTAATAATTTCCTCTTTTTCAAGACAAAGGTTATCACACTCGCAGCACACTCCCCCCACTAGAGGAGGACTTAATCCTGTATGTTCGGCAGTGAGTCGTATTCCTTGACCGTCGTTTCTTGTTAGTTTTAGGGTCTCCATGTCTCTCCTGCTCATCTCATCCAGCCTTCAACCGTGCAGCGAAGTACACGTAAAGTCTGTCACCACGTCATCCCTCATCTCCTCAGTATGACATGGAGACACCCATTTACAAACAATTAAGCTCCCAACTGCATGATGGCCTCCCATTGAGAAAAATGCATTAGAAGCGCATTCATGTTTCTAATATCTCTATACCTAAATACCACCTCTAAACGTATGTATGTTTCTAATGTATGTATGTTTCCAGTGATAGAGACCTTACACGGTTTAACTCATTAAAGAAGGACAGCACCCAATACCTCCAGGTAACATAACAACTTCATTGAGATGTTGACATTAACATAGCCCCCAATCATACATCATTTATTACAAAGATACGAGATGTATTCAATGTACACTTTTGAAATATTAACAAACATCACATATGATCCCGCTCATTTTCTCTTATTTGCCTTGCTTGAGACCACTTCCCTAAGCAGAGCGAATCTTCATTATGGCACAGAAACACTGGCTTCATTGCCAGCATGCTCGCATCTGAACGAGTGATGTCCATTATTCAATTCCTATAATCCCTAGCTAACGCAATCAATTTCGCCTAGGAGTTAGAAAAGCAAGCACTGTGGATGCTATACTTAGAGAGCAAGACTAAGGCCTATGGGAGGTGTCTTCTGCTCTCCCTGTCACATAATGAGGCTCTGTTAATCCCCCCACACCTCCCAAAAAATAGAATTTTACAAAGATAAAATATTTATAAAATGATCACATTGACTACACTGGAATTTCACTTGAATTCTGACGCAGTCAAAACATATCATAAGACAAAGTAGGGACTTCTCTTATGTATTTTTCCTATGATTGACAAAAAGGTAGAGCTACAGCTGTCAAACTTTGTCAACGGCTGAGGGAAAAAAAAGCTTTATCTGTGAAGACTCCCATGGACTTGCGAAATTCTCCGTAGACAGTGTTTTACTCTCGCATATGCACAAGAGTACAGCACTGACGATGGGCTCCTGGAAGATGAAGCACCAGGTGCTGAAGAGGTTACCGCGGAAGAAGATGGCGTTGTGGCGAAGATAAGTTCAAATACGTAAAACTCACCTTTCCCTGCAACCCACGGCCTCTGAACTGCAAGAGGCAAGTCACCAAATATGCAAAGACCCCAAAAGGTGACAGAGTTGCTTTTATTCTTCACAAAATCTATGCTAAATAATTGATTGACAGGTGGGAAAAAACTTTTTTTAAACAGTTATTTTTTTTTATTAAATATCAGAAATAAATAAATATTGATTTGCTAAAAATGTTGGTAACACAATGTATAGACAGAAGAAAAAGCCTATTTTTTTATGTAGCTGTTAGTATGATGTCAGGTAACTTTCAAAGGTTCCCTTTTTTTTTTTAGAAGTTGAATCACTTTTTTTGTTTCTGTTTATGCTGCCCTAGCCACATCTCCCATGGCTGTGATTCACACAGTCTGCATGAAAAAATGGTTTCACGATCAATCAGATGTAACTTACTTTTAATGTTTTTATTTATTTTTTCTGTAAATTGAACTCCTGCATAGTCTAGCAAGCTATTAACAGAACAGGAGATACAAAATTCTAAATGAAACATAATTTGCAATAAAGGAAATGTAAACATTAGATGACTCTTTACAGGAAGTGTTTAGGAAATAAGTCACATGCAGGGAGGTGTGTTTAGGGCAGTATAACCAAAGTAATTTAACTGCCAAATGGCAGAAAACTGAGCAGTGGGACAGCAGGGGCATGATCTATTCACCAAAACTGCTTAATTAAGATAAAATTGTTTTGGTGACTATAGTGTCCCTTTCATTTCCATAGTATGCATAGACAGACAGACAGGGCATTAAAATAAATACATTAATTATTAATAAGTCACAAGTTATATTACCTCTTTACACTACACCTTGCCCAAGTGATGTATGGAGTCAGTTGTTGGACTAGAAGTGCTAACACAAGCAATCAATATCAATCACTGAAATAGAAATGCTAGTTAAAATGAAAATGAGAATGGCAACTCGTCACATAGAAAGCAATAAATCGCAGCAGGACCCAGGACTAGTTCTCTGGCTGGCATCCGCTGTCAGAGGCATGTTACCCTTAACAAAGATGGCGGAAGCCAGTTTTACGCTCCGTGACGTAGAAGCGCCCGGGCATCCATGCCTCGCAGTGCCCTGGCCGCAGTGTGTAGGCTCACGGTGTCTGCAGTCGGGTTGTATCCGGTGCTGCCGTTACACTGCCGGCCGGCTGCTGTGACCCCATGGATGTCAGTCCGAGGTCTCCATGCACCCAGGCAGCGTTGTGTTTCCGGGCTGAGGCCGACAGCCGCCCCTCCTCCCGCTGTCATCTTCCCCCGCCCCTCACGTGTTTGCCGGGTGTCAGTGAGTTGCGCTGCCGGGTGCCGCTCTGTCTGCTCCGGTGTGTGATTTGCAGCCATGCTTCTCTCCGCCGTGCTGCACACCTACTCCCTGCGCTACATGCTGCCGGCCGCTCTCATGCTGGGCACGGCGCCCACCTACCTGCTGGCATGGGGCTGCTGGAGGGCCCTGAGCACCATCCTGCCCCAGAGAGTCTACTGGAGGGTGGACGACCGGCTGTACACCATGTACCAGAGCATGGTGCTCTTCTTCTTCCAGCACTACACCGGAGTGCAGGTCAGGGCTCCACGGGAGGCAGGGGGGTGACAGCAGCTCAGACAGGCCCCCATAGCCCTTTGTAGGGGTCTGGGGTGATAACCAGGGGCTATTGCGGTGTCCGAGTCTAGAATTGGTTCATTTATACGGGGGCAGTGATCATCAATATTGGATGAATGGGATTATAGCTCAATAATTAATCATCGGTAATATCTAACTTTATTAACTGTCATAATTTTATTAAAACTCTCAGTGAACTGTATTAATAGTTTTTTTGTTTTTTTTTATGGAGCAGGAATTGTGAGTGAATATTTTACCCCCCTCCCAGTTCACAAAATGGTCAAAACCTATGTAATATAAGGCTTCCTTTTTTTTTTTTTTTTTCTTGTCCAGTTAAACTTCACTCCATAATCCAAACCGTGCCAGTTCCAATTCAAACTTTTTGTGTCAGTGGTAGATGGTAATAGACTACATTTTGTGCTCGATAGGATGTCTTGTAGTTATACTATCTTTGTATAGCAGTTGTCATATCCATGCATAATGTTCATGACCTTGGGCTATAGCCCAACCCATTGATTATGGAATCTGAAGGTATTCTAGAATCTAGAGTATCCTTGCTTGCCAAGTATGAACATGTGCTTGTGGCCATCTGTGTAGTGTTTTCCTGGACATAGATTTTTTTCTTTAGGCTTTCTGTTTGTCAAGCTAAATCTTATTTAAAGAAATTCCATGACATACAAAGGAGTGACTGTAACTGCCATATTCATCAAGGCAAAAGGCGTGCAATTATAGGGCTATTATACAGAGCAGGAAGAACATTTGGAACTGTATTGCAGATACTGTATGTGCAAAGTAAAGTAGTACAAATAAAATGAATGAAATTTGAACAAACAGTGCTGCAAGATTTTATCTCAAAAATACAAGTAATCCGACCTCTAAAATTAATTATATGGTGAGACTTATTTGCTCCACCAACACAAACTTTAAACCTTGTTCACTGGTTACTAAAACATATTCTAAAGCTTTTCCGCTTGCATTAGGGGGTTCCCAATTTTTAAAAGTGCTAATTTCAACAGAAAGTGACACTTTTTTATAAAGTGGATTACATCCTCCTAGCTGTTGGGAGAGCCGCCAGAATGGTGTTCTTCCTGTCTGCTTTGTTCTAAAGCACATAGAGAAGTTTCTCCTGGAGAAGTCTTGGTGGCAATGCGTTTCTGTGTGAAACGATATCATTGTGGTGCATTCACCCAGTGCTTCTACAGACTGGAACATTGGATTGGCTGAGAGATCATCAGTACTAATGTGGAGCAAAGCTGCTGCAAGAGTCTGTCTCATCGTTGGATTAGGGCTAAGTAACATTTTATTGGAGTCGGGTGGAGAGTGCAGTAATCTAAAGGGGCAAGAACATTTTCCCAGTGTTACAGGAAAATGGTATGCATCAGAACTAGTGAAGCTCACTGTAGTGGTTATAGTGCCAGGAGTGTCCTATCCCCCTCCCAAAGTAGTCAGTCCTTTTTGAGAACAGTTTAAAGGGACACCATTGTCGCCAAAACAACTTTAGTTTAATGAAGCAGTTGTGATGTATAAATCAATCTTCCTGAGCACTTCCTTTATTGCACAGTCTGTTTGATTTAGAATTTATCTCTTGCACGGTTCATAGCTTGCTAGACCTTGCTGGAGACACTGTATGTGATTACATTTTTTTCACACAGGCTGTGTCAGTCACAGCCTATGGACTGAAACAAAATTTAACTCCTAAATGGCAGAGAATTGAGCAATAAGACTTCAGAGACCTAATCTATACACAAAAACTACATCATTAAGCTAAACGTTTTTTGGGGACTATAATGTACCTTTAAAAACTGTTTGACAATTTATTTGATTGCTGCTGGCTCCCCTGCTCTTGCAAGTAGTTTCTGTTAACTGTACTGAAGTAACCATCTCTTTGTAGAGCTGCGCATATTGGCTAAGTGTGTCATTTGAGTGCTGTCGGCAAGTGAGCTTAGCTAAGTGGCATGAGCTTCCAGCAGCAAGAGAGGAGGTGATGAGGCCTAGGTAAATTATCACACTGCTTTTAATTGGTTTGACTGCTTTGTAAGGGTGCCAGTGCACTTCTGGAACTGCAAGCATTACAGTGGGCTGTAGTAGTTGACATTCTGGACACTAACACAATGAATTTAATTTTATTAAAGGTACACTATAGCGTTAGGATTACAAATGTGTATTCCTAAAGCTCTAGTGGCCTGTTGGCCATTTAGGTTCTGGCTCCCACCTGCAAGAAGTAAAAAAGGGTGTTTTACTCGCCTTTTTTCCCTTTCAACACAAGTTTCTGCAGGGAAGCTCTGCCTCATTGTTTTAGATCACTGGTCTTGGACAACCTAGTGCTTTCTCGCAGGTAAGCCATGGGTATCTTGTGTGCACAAGCAGCGAAATGAAGCACTTATAACTGTCTGAGTGACCGTTACAAGAGGCAATCAAAACATTGCTGTTCTGATATTTTTTTTACTTGCTGGGATTTTTTATATATGTGTGTATATGTGTGTGTGTGTGTGTGTGTGTGTGTATGTATGTGTATATATATATTTGGTTTGTGTAAAATGTTTTTTTAACCCACTAGCGACCACATGATGGTCATGCAGTGCAGGACCTTAACACCTGTTGACAGCTTAGACTGTTATGCATTAAAAGTTCCTGCAGGCTTAAATAAATGTTGCTACTATGGAGCCTTAGGTATCATTTGGATTACTGAGGGTCCCCTCTGTCAATTACTGGCTCCAGATTGACAGATGAGCTATGTGCACTGCTCAAAGTGAGGACTGCGCACAGCCCTTCAAAACAGTGTGGCTGAGTGATCTTGCTCATCCGTGGTGATTCTCAGTCTGACCCTATGATGAGAGAGACTCCAGGTTCTGAAAAGACGCAGCAATCACACAGTACAGAGGGCTCACAGCACACTATGTACTGTTGAGAAATCTCTATTGAGTTAAGTACTGATGCAAATATGGAAATCAGCAGAGGGAATTCCTCTAAAGTGGGATTAGGGTTAGGATTTGGATTATGGGTAGGATTAGAGAAAAAAGCTATACATGTGGGGTATTATTGTACAAGTGGTTTGGGATTCTGTGGCTACTATAAGTTATCTTAGCATGTAAAAGTTTGCAAATGGTTTCCTTTAATCAATAATTCACTCCTTGAAATATTATTCTAGACATATTAGGCATTTTAACAATCAGGACTGATTATTGGATCTATTTTACATTCTTCTTTAGTAGTACCTGTGCAGAACATATTTAAAGGGACACTATAGTCACCCAGACCACTTCGGCTCAGTGAAGTGGTCTGAGGGTAGAGGCTCTGTCCTTTTTACTCTGTAAGTTAAGACACTGCAGTTTTTGGGTTTTTTGGGGGTTTTTTTGAACTCCTCCTTTACATTAGGAAATTAGAAAATTTTAGAACACATAGGGGGGCTAATTTGCTTAAGACTGAATTGTAGAGAATTGAAAACAAGATTGCAAAAATAATCCAGCTGTGACTGTAGCAGAGTTAATTCTCTTCTACCCCCTCCCCCACTCGATCAGCTGTTTGCAAGTTAGTTTTTAATTTTATTAAGTGAATAAAACCTAAAATGTCCCCGTCTTTGCTTTTCAGCACTTTTCTAATTTGCATTGAAGTTTGCTTGCATCCTGAAGGTAAATCCTGAACATTCAACAAATAACACCAGATAGTCACGTGTGTACCTAGATTTGAAATTGTTATGCGGTCAAAATTAACAGGTTCCTGGAATTATACATTTTCACATGACCGTTACAGCAAAATTTACTAAACCCTGTTCCATATAAATGTTTACTGTGACTATTAAAATTAGTCTTTTTTTTTTTTTTTCTGAAAAGAACATTTTAATGACAGTGTCACTTTAAAGTGCAAAAGTGCTCATTTTAAATGCTAACAATTTTACAGGCCCTCCTGTAAAAGCTTGAAAAGCTACAAAACTCAAATTAATACCAGCAACAGCATATACTCCGTGCAGCAGCCCAGTTCTCCCACAATTAACTTCTCCTTTATGATCTTTGATTCAGTCAGGTGCTTCTCATAGAAGCATAATCTGCTTGTACGGATATATAATGCTTCTCTGTGAGCAGCATGAGTTGTGTGTGATGACTCTGAATGGGGGGTCTTAAAGAAACAATGCCTCTAGTGCCTGTCAGTCTTCCAGCCACCCAGTGTGTGTTTTCTGATAAATGTAAACATTGCTGTTTCTCAAAAACATTGTTTATTGTGGGTTTTTTTTTCTATATTGTCCCAGTAAAGAGACAGGATCTGTGCACCTAAACCAATATTAAAGCAACACTGCAAGCACAATGACTTCAACAGAAAAAATAATTTTTAATTTTTTTATATCACATGTTATTTAAATTAATGGATAAGCAATACGTTAGCAAGAAAGGGTTTGAAAAGGCAGCCAACACTAGTGATAAAAGAGGAACTCCCTTTTCTTCCCCAAGATATACCTAAACACACCAGTTGTGCCAAATACCATATAAAAGCTCATACAGTCCACAATATTCGTGTGTTCCAAATTCCAGTAACTTGGGGCTTGGCTCCACAGGCACATAAAACAAAAGTGGAGATTGAGTGCAAAGGGGTGATAATAAAAGCGTGCTTGAAGAATGCTCACTCACATTTGTTAGATGGATATCATACATATCCTAAAAAGGAAAATAGTGTAATAATACTGGAACTTTTTTTTTTGTATAAAATATATAAAAAGTGAAAAAACACTCACAATAAAAGAGCATGTAACCCAAGTGTTTCAGGCGTCTGGTGGTATGATCCCCACCAAGTGGATATATGTAGACAAGTAGGCTTCTTAATCTCGAAATATGTGTAATTAAAAAGAAAGCAACACGGTGTACTCCATGAAAACTTAAAACCTTGAGAGGTGAAATTTTACTCCCAAAAGAAAAAAAAGTATCCTCTGCTCAGGATGACCAGCGCTGGTGGAGGAATTGATGATTCTCAACCCTGAAGTAGTGTCTTTTCAAAGTGTCAGGACCGGAAGGAATGCTTAAATCATAAAGTCATATATTTGCAAGTATATGGCCAAACCCAGTGATAAAGTTTAGCCAAAATTACTTTATTAGATTTCGTTAAAAACAAATGTAAAAAAAATTAAAATATACACAGCAACAGGTTTCACCAGCAATGGCTTTAACAACATTCTGCACTATATTTTATCACTTGTTTATCTGTGCCTGTGGACCTTGCTCCATCTTACTGGAAGACGAGAATTTTGTGGATTCTATAAGTTGGACTATTACTTCTTTTATATAATATTTGGCAATACTTGTGTGTTTTTGCTGTTGTGTTTACCATGACTTCTAAAGCCTGATTGGTTATGATGCCATTATGGCCCTGGCACCAAGGTAAGTAAAACCATTTGCAAGTGGTTTGACAGTTTAGCTGGGGTCTGCTGTTTACTGTAGTGGTTAGAATGTTCTTACATGCTTAATAATTTGGTGTTTGGCATCCCTTTAAGAATAGATTGATGGGACAACCTGTGTTTAGACCACATTATCCCAGTTTGCACAGTAAAATAAATGTTGGCCACAAAGAGTTCTGGTGAGAGTTACTCCAAGACCATGACCACTTCTGTTATTTGAAGTTTGTATATGCAACATTTTGCTGTGAAATACTCCACATAAGGAGTTTAACCCATTTGCTACCAGGGGTGTAACTAAACCTCAGGCAATGTCTTTAGCCGGGCCAGAACAAGAATTCTGGGCTGGCTAATGTAAATTCTGTATATACAGTGGGACCTCGGTTTACAAATGCCTCGGTTAACATAATTTTCGGTTTACAAATAGAAATCCATTGAAAATAATGTCTCGGTTTACAAAATTTTTTCGCAATATTCTGACATCCAGAACGGATTAATTGGTTTTCAATGCATTCCTAATGGAAACCGCGTTTCGGTTTACAAATTTTTCGCAATAAGAAACGTCCCGGAGAACGCATTAAATTCGTATATCGAGGTCCCACTGTATTTGTATGCACAAAGGGTGATTAATTGGCAGTGAGTGATCAGCTGACGCTCTGAGCCAATGAATGGCCAATGAGCTTAGCCTCTGCATCTGTGCAAAAGCTGGATGCACTTCTCCCGGCAGTAAGAAGCCTCATTGCCTAACGGGATCCATGTAAGACAGGGCTTGACAAATATGCTTTGAAACAAGGAGCCAGCTAAAAAAAAAATTAGGAGCCATGTTTTTATTTTCTTTTTTCTTTTAAACGTACACAGCATTATTTTCAATGAAAAAAGGCAATTCTTAAAGAGCCGCTGTAGACACCAGAACCACTACATTTTAATGTAGTGGTTCTGATGTCTATAGCCTGTCCCAGCAGGCTTTTCAAAGTGAACACTGACAGCCAACTAGTGATACCTCTAGCGGCAGCCACTCAAACATCCACTAAAGTGCTTCCTATCTCAGTGCTGCACAGTATGCAACACTTACATTCAGCACCTCTACACCCTGCATGGAGGCGCTGAAAGTTCCCCATAGAGATGCCATGATTCAATGCATCTTTATGAGGAGATGCTGATTGGCAAAGCGTTTTTGCAGCATGTGTGCAATAATTTCTCAGTGCTTTCCAACCAGCCGCGGGGAGACCGGTACGTGGTCGGGGGGGGTCACCTAAACACATACACTGACAGATGCACACATACAGACACATGTACTGACAGACATTTGTTTTAATGCAATTATATTAAACAGTGAAGGCAGGTGGCTGGCTGCGCATATTGTGGAGCTATGATCTCCCTGCTCTGCTTCCTCGCGCGCTGCTTAGTAATTCCGGCATAACTAAGCGGCTCGCGAGGGAGATCGTCAGTAGGCCGACAGCAAGGGAGCTATGATTTCCCTGCTCTTTTCCCTCGCGCGGCGTTTAGTGATGCCGTAATAAGTTGTTCCGGAATTACGAAGCGAAACACGAGGGAGAAGAGTATGGAGATCACATCTCCCTCACCGTCGGCCTACAGAACGTGCAGCCGACCGGCCACCTCAGAGTGCCAGGACTAAATTCTGGGATTTGTTGAGCCCTGATATAAGATGGCAAACCGTTGCAAGTTAGGCTGCAGTGGTTATGATGGTTGGTGTAACCTTTTAAGACTACAAAACGTCTGGTCAGCATGTACACTCTCCATAAGATCTAATGCAAGTATATCAAAGACTATTGTTTTGTTTTGTTTTAATGAATGACTGTATCAGTATTAGCCCTGGTCAGCATCATTGTTTAAAACCTAGATAGTATGAAAAATAAATAAAAATGCAGTTTAATAATATAAACACAAATGGAACAAGCAGAAAGCACATTTATCTTGTTCAAGGACATATACTGAATATATAATGAATAATAGCTGCTATAAAATCAAAGATAACATTTTCTGTACCTTCTGAGCATTGTGTAGACCACTTTATCTTCCTCATGATCATTTTTTCAATATATTCATTAAAATAACTTTTAACCGTTTATTTTGACATCACATTTGCTATTCTTTTGCCAGTTCTCCACAATCCCCCGGTTTAGTGAACACCCTAGTTCACGATTTGTATTTTTAATTTTTTTAAACTCATTTGGAAAGTGTAAAAGCTTCTTAAATTCCTTAGTGTATCAAGTGGTTTACAAGACTATTAGAAACCTATGTGTTCTATAAAAAAAAAAAAAAATGTATTTGTCAATATGTGTGTTAAAATTGTCAGGATTAGTAAAAAAATTTTTGTGGGGTAGGGATAGAAATGCTACTCACATCCTTTGGTATTTTTATACCAATGAAGGCTCCTCAAATAATGTTTTTCATCTAGCTATTTGTAGTATGATTAGCAATGCTATCAGCAGACATTATCAGAGGGGAAAATGTCAACTGATATTTGTATAAAGACACACCTGTTACAGTGTATATACTTTTTAGGAAAGGCATTTCTTTTAAACGTAATCAAAGTGTTAGAAGTAAGCAAATCATATGTGGACAAGGGTCTCTCTCTCCCTCCTGTGTTTATTTCTCTGACAGCCAAACTTGCTTAAAAGAACACATCACTGCCAAAATGGGCAAAAAGAAATCACTGTTCTATAGATATTCCCTCTATGAATACATGCATGTATTCATTGGGGGTATATCTTAAAAGAGCTTGCAAAGTCTGATGATCTTATGACCTGCAGCCTTCGCAAGCCCTCCCTTTTTTCCCCGAAGAGACTCTCAGTCTCTTCATGGAGAAACAACCAGAGTTTTATCATCGAAAAGCCTCTGAATGGATGCATGCGCACTCTTGATCTGAGGCATGTGTGGGAGGAGGCAGGCACACTCAAGTAGAGGGGGAGGTAACGGAAGGAGGCTGCAAACCTACCTGGCTGTTTGATAGACCGTCATGGGGATGCTTCCTAGTTAATTTAGAAAAGTGTGTTTTTCTCATAGAAGTCTGCACTTTTATAAACTGGAGTTAAATTAGGCGGCTACTCAACATAAAACACTTCAGCATGCTGAATTGCTTTTGGGGTGTGGAGTGGTCCTTTAAACCTGTTATTAATAACCTTGGTATTAAAAAAATCTTACTAGATTTTTGTTAGTTCGCTGGTACTGAAGTAGATGTTTTGGATTTCCCAGTGGGAATAATCCAGCATTAATAATTATTCAGTCAACCTTGAGTTATGCGATTAGAGTAGATTAAAGCAAAGGTGGACTTATACATGAAGTGGCCATATTGTGCGACTCTACCTCAATATACATTTGCTAAAATAGAAGCCGTTTAGTAGCCTTTATAAGATTTAAAATTACTTTTTGTGTGCGCACTTTTCCCTTAATGTGTATTTTGCTATTTATAGCAGAACTACTATTAAGAAATGTGTGTCCCCTATTCCCTTGGTTTTCTGTGTAGATTTAGAATCCAGACCATAGTCCTTTTTGTTGAGCATCCCATACCTCCACTCCAAGTGTCTTTTAAAAGTAATCAACGGCAAAATATATATTTGAGCACCAGTACAACTTTAGCTTAATTAAAATGTTAGTTCAGCCATCATAACCACTGAAGCCCACTGTAGTGGATGTGAGAAGTACCCTGATCTGGTTCCTGGTAATGGGGCAACCTGTTTTGCAATGGTTTGTACTCTTATTGGGTCCTTTCGTGTATACAAAGCAGTATAGATATACTAAATAGTCAAACAAAAATGTAGATGTGAAACTTAGCTGGACCAAAAAGCTCTTGTGAGTTCTGTGTCCACAATGTAATAAAATACAATTCATATCAAAATCCGATATTTGAGGAAGACAGCATGAAGAAAATCAATCAATAAAATTCAAATACCCTTATTTTTTTTTCATATAGATATAAAAATCCAGACTGGGACACAGCAAGGGAAAACACCTAAACACACTGTCACGGCAAGGGTGCATAATTTATTATTACACTATGGAATATTGTCCTTTAATGTAATTTGTGTAGTAAATGGCATAGATGGTATTGTTGAGGGTAAAAGGGGTTACATCTTTTGAAGCTAGGACCCCCACAGAGGTCAGATTACAGAAGGGGTAGTATGAATGGCATAGCAATGTGAAAAGGATTTTACCATATGGATGTGAAGTAATCAAGGCCCTGCAAGGTGTGAGGTTCTACACTTGGAAAAAGTCTGAATGTCTCTTCAGCCATTTGGCATGTACCTTGTAAGTGATGAGTTAATTTATTTTGATATGTAAATGCCATTAGCCTTGTTCCAGTATCATATCCAAAGGAAGGACAAAAACATTCATATTTACCGCACAAAATAATAATAAAGCCTCATTTTTGTTATATTTTGAATGAGACAATTGCCATCTTCTAACCAAGTGCAAACATGAGTGGCCTAACTTGACCATAGGGGAAGGAATTGTGGTGTCCATCCTATCGGATCGCAAGGCCGGCATGCAACATATGTATAGAATGGGAAAATAATAACCAATTCATAGAGGCAATTATTATTTCCGTAGCGGGTACATAAGAGAAGCTGGAGCCAAATGTTTCCATTTGGATTGATGTTGGTCTGGAACAAAGGAGGTGGTCACTTATTTCTGTAGGTACCCCTTAACTCCACCACTGGGCAAGACTTGATAATCCACAGGGTATATATGCAATGATTTGGAGGGGTGTGAGTGTACTTGCTTAGGGCTAAAGATCTAATTTTGAGTGAGTCACCATCATCCTTCCTTGCCAGAGACCCCCTGGGCAGAAGTTGTACTTTGAAAACCTAAAACTTCTGTATTTTATCCTTTTTTGTTTTTATCTGTTGTTGGTAAATAATTTATCATTTATTCTTATATGCACTGTGACTATTTTTTGCTCATAATAAACATTCATTTATTAAGTTCTGCCTTTGTCTGGTTAAGAATCATGTTACCTGAAGAGACTAATTAGTATTTCTTAAATATTGTGCTAAGTAATATTTGGTAGGTTTTATTATTGATTTACCTTGGGGACCAAGGCACCCCATTTATAAATTGTCTTGGTGGTGGCAGCGTTAAAATAGTAATAGTTTTATTATTATGTTTAAGTGTGAGTGGTGTTAAAAGGGGGATTTTGTCATTATTTCTGGTCTAGTGCAGACAAATCGTGAACTTTCACCACCACAACTACGTCACGCACACTCTTGAAGTAGGGTGCATTGATGACACTCAAGGCTTATGATGAACTTCTGGGCACGAAATGTGTAAAACTTTGTTTTTTTGTTTTTGTTTTTTAAATCTATACAAAGAAATAAAGGTATTTGGATTTTATTGCATACTGATGGCCTTGGCCACAAATGTGTTGTATCTCAAAAGAGATTTTGTCCTTGAGGGGTTAACATAGCCTAAATGTTTTGCTTCCCTTATTTCTCAGTTTGTTTTCTAATTTAGGATTTCTTAAAGGGACAGTCTAAGCACCAGAACCACAACTTAATGTTAAAGGGACACTATAGTCACCAGAACAACCACAGCTTATTGAATTTCTTCTGGCGAGTATAATAGCTCCCTTCAGGCATTTTCATGTAAACACTACATTTTCAAAGAAAAGGCAATGTTTACATTGCCTCTAGGGACACCTCCAAGTAGCCACTCCCTAGATGGCCACTGGAGGGGCTTCCGGGCTCAGGGCTGCACAGTAAGCAGCTCTGCATGGAGATGCTGAATTTTCCTAATAAAGATGCATTGATTTAATGCATCTCTATGAGGAGGTGCTGATTGGCCAAAACAGTGTTTGGCACTGCCCCCTTGCGAATTTTAGCCAATCCAATGCTTTCCCTATGGGAAAGCATTGGATTGGCTAAAAATCGGCCATTTTGATTGTCACCAAGGAGGCAGGGCCAGCGCCGGCGGACCCCCGGAGAGCTGAAAATAAGGTGAGCTTTAACCCATTCTGAGGGAACTAAGGGGGGGCAAGCCACCTAAATGGTGGGTTTTCACTCTAGGGTCAGAAAAACATGTTTGTGTTCCTGACCCTATAGTGATCCTTCAATATTTAAACATAGAATGTGACAGCAGATAAGAACCATTCGGCCCATCTAGTCTGCCCAATTTTCTAAATACTTTCATTAGTCCCTGGCCTTATCTTATAGTTAGGATATCCATATGCCTATCCCACGCATGCTTAAACTCCTTTACTGTGTTAACCTCTACCACTTCAGCTGGAAGGCTATTCCATGCATCCACTACCCTCTCAGTAAAATAATACTTCCCGATATTATTTTTAAACCTTTGCCCCTCTAATTTAAGACTACGTCCTCCTAGTTGTGGTAGTTTTTCTTATTTTAAATATAGTCTCCTCCTTTACTGTGTTGATTCCCTTTATGTATTTAAATGTTTCTATCATATCCCCCCTGTCTTGTCGTTCCTCCAAGCTATACATGTTAAAATCCTTTTATCCTTTCCTTGTAAGTTTTATCCTGCAATCCATGAACAAGCTTAATAGCCTTTCTCTGAACTCTCTCCAAAGTATCAATATCCTTCTGGAGATACGGTCTCCAGTACTGCGTACAATACTCCAAGTGAGGTGTAACCAGTGTTCTGTACAATGGCATCAGCACTTCCCTCGTTCTACTGCTAATACCTCTCCCTAAACAACCAAGCATTCTGCTAGCATTTACTGCTGCTCTTTTACATTGTCTGCCCACCTTTAAGTCATCAGAAATAATCACCCATAAATCCCTTTCCTCAGATGTTGAGGTTAGGACTCTATCTAATATTCTGTACTCTTCCCTTGGGTTTTTACGTCCAAGATGTATTATCTTGCACTTATCCACATTAAATGTCAGTTGCCACAACTCTGACCATTTTTCTAGTTTACCTAAATCATTTGCCAGTTGGCTTATCCCTCCCGGAACATCAACCCTGTTGCATATCTTCGTATCATCAGCAAAAAGACATACCTTACCATCAAGACCTTCTGCAATATCACTAATAAAAATATTAAAGAGAATGGGTCCAAGTAAAGATCCCTGAGGTACCCCACTGTTGACAAGCTGATGCTTCGAATATACTCCATCAGCAGAGGAATTTTCAAGCTCACAATATGTTGCAGTAGAAGAAACGTGTTTAGAAAATGTCCAGCACTAGCAAAGAATAAAGTGTTGGGCAAAAAGAGTGTGGATTTCCATTAGCTATAAGCCGCAGATGCCAGTTCTACTGCTAATGAAAGGTACATTTTAAGAATTACAAAATATTTGTGAAAATATGTAGTAAATTTTTTTTCTTTTAAAGGGACACTTCTTTTTTGGGAAGCATTGCATTTTATCTTCTTTATTTTTTTTAGATGTATAATGTATTCAAAAAATTACGCAATAAAAATAGAAAGTTGCTTACATTTAACAGCAGTATGATTTGCCAAGAACAGGAAGTCACTCCGCTAATCATGATGCTCACTTCACAGTGTACGCTAAGCACTGTTACTCCGTTTCTACTGCTGTGGACTCGCTTGTGAGAACTTGGACTTACCCATGAGCATTTGTCTGCATAGAGGACATTGTTATTCCATAAATAAACATTTTGACGTTCTAGAAGACTGATGTAGGAATGAAGGTCACTCAGTAATTCTAGTTGGGCAAAGTAGAATGTGTAAACAAACTCTCACGACAAGGTCCTCTTTCCTATTACTTCTTTAATCATTGCCACAAACTCTAATTTATACTTTATTTATAAACTATTTTCTCCTGCCCGTATATAAATATGTACATCTCTAGAGCATTGATTGTACTAACAGACTAAATGCCTGTGTTCCTGGAGGCACGGCTGAGATTATTTTATTTATTTGGTGTTTTCGAGATTATTTATGATCATAGCAATTGTAAGTAGGACATTTTACACCCCTAAAAACCAAACTTCTATTTTGCTGAAAGGTTTTTAGAGCAAAACCTTTTGTCTATTGATTTTCTTTGTAAATCTTTGATCCTACTAATTGTTTTTATTTAATAGATTAATTGAGAACTGTGGTCTCCATATATTTTTATGTCAAGCAAAAAAACATAAAAACACATTTCCTGCTGCTCATTTTCATGCAATAGTGCTAGTCCCCATCTGTGCTTATCTTGGCGTTTCCTCTTAACAGCTATTTTTTGGTGGCCCCTCAGGCTTCCTTATGACCGGATGGAATGTTGTATTATGTGCTAAAGCTGCAGGCTTCAGAATGTGACATTCAAGCATAGGAGAATGACTCCAAGGTCACTGGCCAAGGCACCTTGCACTTATCTCCCCTCATCAACCCACCTAACTTCAAAAAGGTGCATTATGAGTGCTGTAAATACAACAGTCTGTAGGCAGGTGTTTACTCTGCCGGATGGGAAATCCATCACTGTCTAACCAGCAGATTTGGCAGTGGCTGTTGACGTAATGACTGAATGAAAAGTAGCAAAATTCCCTATGGGGTTTTAATTATGATAAAAATACTTTTTTAGGTGGTGACTTTGGGTTCTGTGACTGCAATTAAAGTTACAAGCTGAACAGATCATATTTTGTAAAGTTTTATCTTTAAATCAACACTATAGCGTTAGGGATACAAACTTGCATTCCTAACGGTATAGGCTTCCTGTCCCTAGTTAGATGCCGGGATTCCAGTATGTGCAGTGTAACATTTAAAAATAATAATAATAATAATTTGCTTACTTTTTGAGAAAGGAGGGCATATATATTCAGTGACAATCCATTGTGAGCAAGATGTCTAGGTATTTAAACCTGAGAAAATACTAGTTATTGGTTGTATAGTATTTTTCTCTAAAATTAAATTGAAAATCTTCTTTTGTATATAATTAAAATTAGGGATAGACTAATAATCGGTTAGGCCGATATTCCAGATTTTGGCAAATATCGCTGTCGGCCACTATTGATACCGATATTGCAGATAATGTGAGGACTGGTGTCCATAACGCGGCATAGGCAGCCGTCTTAGGGAGCATTGGCTCTGGGGGTGCAAGAATCGAGTGAGTCGAAGGAAGAGCAGAGCGCTCCTCCACTCCACAAGTCACTCACGTGGAGCAGAGCGGACCGCGGTACAGGAGCTTCAGTTTCCTGTACCCGGCTGGACTGACCAGAAGTGCTCACTGAGAGAGCACATCCTGTCAGACAGGCCGGGTACAGGAAACTGAAGCCCCTGTAGCGTGGCCGAGTTCTGCGGACCGCGGTACAAGAGAGAAAATTAGGCACACCAGTGAGGGGTGGAGAGAGAGACACACCCACTCACTCGAGGGACGGGGATGGAAAGTGAGAAGAACACTAAATATTCTTAAAAATAAAATAATCTGACTGGCATGTATATTTTGTGCATTAACCACTTTAAAAAAATATATATAAAATGCTCAGTCAACAGTGGGATTGTGTAGAAATTGTTACTTTTTTCAAAACGGTAAATGTACAGAATATTGGTATTTGTAAGTTATCGGCCTAAAAGTTCACAGATTATCTGTATTGGTATCGGCTCTAAAAAAATAGAAAATCTATATCGGTCGATCCCTAGTTAAAAAACAAGATTAGGTATTTATCATTTCCTACTTACTGTACTATTTGCAGTGACTGACTTAAAGAGGCATTTTGTCAGTGTGGGTATGTGTTCAATGGGAGAAACAAAAATTGCCTTGTTTTCCACTGGCTTACTTATATCAGATTCCGATATAACGTCTTCCTAAGTATAAAGGATTCACTATACATTCTGCTTTCTTATACTGATTATTATATATATGGTTTGTTTTTATTTTAGATAATCATTTATGGAGATTTGCCAAAGAAAGAAAATGTTGTCTATATAGCCAATCACCAGTGTACAGGTTTGTATGATATTTACATTTTGTCACAATTGTTTCTGAAAGTCGCTTTGAGAGTTGATTTTATTTTTTTATATATGAGAACTTTGTCTTCTGAGAGTAACTCTGCATATGTTTTTGTCTGTTGCTGGATAGATTTAAAGAAACTATATGAAAGTATTAAAGGGACACGTCTTTTTTGTGTGTGAGGCATTGCAGTGTATATTCTTAATTTTTGTATGTATAATGTATACATAGATGTAAATAGTAAGGTACTTATATTTGATAGCAGTAGGATCTGCCAAGAACTGGAAGCCACTCAGCATAATCGCTACAGCCTACTGCTAGCAAAGAAGCACTGTAAGTAGTTAAACTGTTTTAGTGTGGTTTGATAACTTAATCAATAAAAAAGTTGAACAGAAGAAACTGGTCAAATAGCCAGGAGCTGGTACTCGGAGCAAATAGGGATGGACCCATTGTACAGCGCTACGGAATTTGCTGGCGCTATGTAAATAATAATATAGTGACAATAAAATAAAAAATGGAAGGCAAATGTGCAATATATACAAGAAAAAAACGATATGTATATAAAAAAAAAACTAAAACGTCGTGAAGCAGTAAATATGAATATGATGTGCCAATAATATAAAATGTTTAAATGTCTTAGGGATCATAAGCAAGGAGACATAAAATGAAACCTATAAAATGATGTAGCAAACAAGATGAATCTTGGATTTCACTATAAACCATAAAAAGAGGTTGCAAACTGCAGTGATACCACGTGTTACAAAGTCAACTAGAGATCAACAGATTATTGGTTTTGCTGATATTATCGGCCGATATTCAGTTTTGTTTTGTTTTTTTAAAGTATCAGCTGATAATCACAGGCAATACCGATAATAAGGCTGGCCGGCGCATACATAAGGCGGCACAAGCGGGCGCCTTAGGGCACGCCAGCCCGGGGGGCACTAGATCTAAGTTACCGGCAGGAGGTGGGCGCACAGCGCTCCCTCCTGCCAGGCACTCTGTGTAGCGTGGCCGAGTGGAGTAGTGGACAGCGCGGTACAATAACACTAAGGGACAGGGGGGCGCTATATGGGAGGGGGGGACACTGTGTAAGGGGAGTGGTAAGGAACACTATGGGACGGGGGGGGTTAAGAACACTATGGGACAGGGGAGGGAGGGAAAGAACACTAGGAGTGAGTGAGGAACATTAAAGTAGGACACTAAGGTACAGGGGAGGGAAGGGAAAAGGAACACTGGGGTAGGGGGGAGACCACTGAAAGAGAGAGAAGGGAGAGGAACATTAAGGGAAATTGGGGGCACTATGGGACAGGGGAGGGGGTGAAGAACACTATGGGACAGGGGAGGGAGGGAAAGAACACTGGGGGGGAGTGAGGAACATTAAGGTAGGACACTAAGGTTCAGGGGAGGGAAGGGAAAAGGAACACTGGGGTAGGGGGGAGACCACTGAAAGAGAGAAGAACATTGGGGGCACTAAGGACGGGTAAAGGGTGGGGGGGAGTTTATACCGCACATATTTACACACAAACACACACTGCATCCGCTACACAAAAACACATTGCATCCACTACCCACACTGCATCCACTACCCATACTGCATCCATTACACAAACACACACACTGCATTTACTAATCAAATACTCTCACTTCACACACACACATAAATATTATTGAAAACATAAAAAAATCTGACTGGCATGTATATTTTGTGCATTTACTACTTAATAAAAAAATAAAATAAAAATACTGTAAATGTACAGAGTATCGGTAAGCTATCGGCCTGAAAGTTCATATCAATATGTATCAATATCGGTCGATCCCTAAAGTCCACATCTATAAAGCTAGAACAGACACAAAAAAAGTGTGTACCATTCACACAACTATCTTTATTACATGAATCAAAAACACTCACAATGAAGTAGAATAAAAAAAAAATGCATTTCAAGGAACATCATCCCTACACACGTCTGGCTGTAATTCCACTCTCCTCTGTACCGCTCGGAAAGAACAAGTGAGAGAGTAGGTTTAGCAACTAACCTGGATCCCTTTACAAGGGGCTTGGCCCCTATATTTGCACTGCTGTTTGTAAGGACATGATGTGTGGTACCATAACACTAACTCTTTGATCTCCGTGGTCAGCCTCGGCCATCATACTCTAATGGTAATTTGCCAGATGGTCAGTACGGGTCTGGATGCACATTAACACCAGTGTTTCTTGAGGGGGAAGGGGATGGAAAATGGGGTTGTTTTAAAAGGGGAGCTTGGTGATATTACTGGCAGGACAGTGTAGGGGTATGAATGGAGAATTGAATAATTGTTGACATGGAGATGTTAATAAGAGGATACAAGATTAATGGACATGCAGGCATTCTTTAAAATCCCCTAGTTTCTTGATTTCAACAGCAGTTTTGAAACCATGTGAAAATGAGATTAGGTGCATGTCCTAAACCAGGGGTAGGCAACCTTCCTCACTCCAGATGTTTTGCTAGCATTCTATAATAACTTCCATTATATAGGTTGCGGAAACAACTGACTAAATTACAATTAATTTTTTTCTTGACATATTATTCAGGATGTTTTGCTGTCTTTACATATTCTTTTCCTGTGCCCTAATAGTTGATTGGATCATTGCGGATATGATGGCTATACAGCAGAAGGCACTGGGTCATGTTCGATATGTTCTGAAGGATGGACTGAAATTTCTTCCTCTTTATGGATGGTATTTTTCACAGGTAATATTACTCCCAATATTCAGAAGTTAGATCAGCCATAGAAATGTGGGGTATGGTTATTTCAACAACATAACCTCTGCTACTGGCTGTTCCAAGGAGTAACCTGGTGATGTCCTCAGGTAAGGGAGCAAACCATTTTGCAATGGTTTGCTCTCTTACCCGAGTCCCACCAGGCCCCGTGCTTCCAGATCTGCTAGGGTACATGAATCTAGATGCCAATCCCACCAGCCATTTGTTGGTTGATAGCATTAGTTGATCTTTGAATGAGCGTCTGTACATAGAAATATCCACTGAATTGAAAATAGGCATCCCAGAAATACACGCTACACTTTTTATCCCAGAAATCTTGGACATTTTAAGGTCGCTGCCAGTTTGAAAGACTGCACATAGAGACTCCCAGAACCATGACCACTTCAGAACACTGAAGTGGCCACGGTGCTTGAAGGCACTCTTTAAAAATGAAACGTGTCCGATCAACAGACCTTGCTTGACCAAGTTTAATAATAGAAATATAGTACGTGTGTGGTTTAAATACTTTTTAATAAGAAGGGAAATGCTTACTATTCATTTGTACTACCGGAGAGGATGGGACTGGAGCAGTGGAACACACCTAACACGTTCTTTGAAATTTTCTGTAAAAAAATGAAACATGTGAGAAAACACAAAATATTCAATGTAACCAGTAGATTGACCAAAGGCTGGTGATAACATGGTTAAAGGGGCTTGGTCACCTTAAACTTACCTGTCACCTATTGTTGCCTCTTCCAGAATCTGTTCTTCTCCTTCATTTCCGATCTAGTTCTTAAAACGCAAGACAAATTAAGGACTACTTCGTTTTTTCCTATTCTTGACAATTGTGACAAAAGGGTGCAGCATTAGGCAAACTCCACTGCCTTTGTCCAACTAACAAAGGATAAAGCTTGCTTTAAGCCGCACCCTTTCTCAAGATTGTCATGTGTAGTAGTCCCTACTTTGTGTTATGTTTTTAAAGAGACATCGATCAGAAATGAAGTAATTGCAGATTCTGAGGAAGAGAAAACAAAAGGAGAAAGTAAAGTTTGAGGTGACAGAGACACTTTAAATGCAAATGTCAAAATGCTTTTCATTAAAAACCCTGGGAATAGTGTGCTTTCTACAAATGAATTCTGCTGTTTAGTGGTTTAGGATTCTGTAACTGATATTAGAGGTAGTCTCAGCAGGCCAATGGGTATTTTTAAAACTGTAATAGTTGGGCTATATTTTGAATAATTTTTCATGCTTTTTCTGTTGCGTAGAAATTACAAGAAGCAATATATTGAAAAATTGTATTATGTATACATCTGATATCCGAAGAAAGCCTGATTATTTCTCCTTTAAAAAACAAACAAACATGATATGAATGTAGTTGTAGCTTAAAGACTGTATTCATTTATGGTCAAATGAACACACAGCAGAAGTGGCTTTGTTTGACAAATGCATGTTATCTCAGAAAAGTCTTGGTCACTAAACGGCTAAAATGCATTCACTATTGAATGCGTTAAATAATTTGACTAATTCAACCTCTAGTGCTTTTTCAAATCTACCTCTCAAGTCTTAGACTGCCAAAAAAGGCTGCATATTTCTTTAGTTCTTGTGTTACTAGCAATATGCAATCTATATAATCCGTTTAGTTATAGAAAATACCAAACCATCTTACACCATTACAAAACTGTTGTTCGCTCCTTTTTTTTTTTTTTTTCCTTTTCTTTTATCTCCTATATTAATACATCATCCTTTTATCACTGGTCATTGTGACATTTCCGCAAGCAAACATCAGTTTCCAGCTAGTGCACAGTGACCAATACTTTTGTGTAAAGAGCAAGGTTATGGTCTGGTTTTCTGACTTTTGTTGCTTAATCAAATACTGATCACTTACTAAATCTGCCTGGAAATATAGAACATTTCCTCACTGTGGACATCTACTACCCATCCTCCACACACACACATAAACACTGAAAGCACAGAGCAGATAGCTAACATTGCCTACTCTCCAACTTGGCCTCTGCAACATGCTCAAAGCTGTAGAGAAAGGATAGGATGGGGGGATGGACTGTAAAACTAGTGAAAGGGATGAGATTGAGACAGTGTGGAATATGAAAGAGTGTGTATAGGCTTAAATTTAGACCTTTGGATTCATTGTATTGAAACATTTAAATCTGATTAAACTGTTTTTGCTTTAATTAATTTTGCCATTTCAAATCTAATCCATAAAGCCTCACTCACCATCATGTATTCTCTAGTTATGATTACCAGCCTCTAGAGGAACACATTTTATGGCAAGACAGGCTTCATATTTGCTTATCTTTCTTTACTGAAACTCCCAGCAGCAAATAAATAGTTAACAATCAGTGTAAAAAAGTTTAACCAATCAGCATGCATCATAGTAATGTAAACTGCCTACAGGCTCTTACCAACCCCTCTTTATTTGCTGCTTCGCCTCCCAGGTGAGTCTATTCCAATTATACTCTTTATTATTGTTCATTAGTTAAATAATCATATCTTAAATAATATAGGTTTATTTGATTATTTTCTGTGATACATTTTCAGCATTTTGTCCTCTTTACCTAACTATGTGCTAAATCTGATATTATTTATTTTTATCCTTGTAGGTGGGCTAACCTTCTGGTCGGCCCACAGCTATTTTATACACTTTTTATTCCCTGCATACTAAGTTCATTTAGCTAGCACTACAAATTTTGACTGAGGCTCCCGGCATCTTGCCGGACCGTTCAGCCACTCTGTTTTCCCTGCACACTGTTTGTTTCCCTCTTTGGTCTCCAGAGAGACGCGTCCCGCCTGTTTTCTGTTCGCGGCCATCTCGTACAAAATTCCCGCACCCTGGTGTTTTACCAAACTAATGAAACCAGTAATGGCATTACTACGTTCCCAGGGAATTCGGTCCATCATATATCCTCCTCATGGCACAGGACCAGAAGACGCTACAACTTCATACGCTCATGACCTCAGCTTTGTTACAGAACCTTGGCTTTGTGATCAATCTCCAGAAATCATCTCTCACTCCGTCTAAGACGGTGCAATTCCTTGGATTCCAGGTAGATTCTGTTAGGGCAGTCCTACTAACAAAGATCAAATCCATCAAAAAGGATATTCGGAGCTTGCTGGTGTCACCATACCTCTGCCTGCGGGATCTAGCCCGCATAATCGGCCTACTCTCTCTGCTTCAATACAAGCAATATTCCCTGCCCCGTTACACTATCGAGCACTACAGCGCCTGAAAACACGTTACTTGCATCATTCGACATCTTACGATCAGCAGATCACGCACACAGACGAAGTACGGCTAGAACTCCACTGGTGGCTACATCATATGGAAGCTTGGAACGGGAGAGCCATCTTCGGATCCAAACCAGATTTCATTCTGGAGTCAGATGCAAGCCTTCTCGGATGGGGAGTGACTTGCTCAGAACATTCTACCGGAGGACTTTGGTCCCAATCGGAACAAGATCTTCATATCAATTGCCTCAAACTAATTGCAGGTTCCTTCGCAATCCGCAGTTTCGCCAAGGACGTCTACAATTGTTCCTTGGTCCTGAAGATGGACAATGTGTCTGGTTCTTTATGTGAATGTGAATCGTCTAAGAGGTTCCAAAACAAAGATGCTTTCAGACCTGACAAAAGAATTGTATCAGTTCTGCTTAGACAGGAATATCTTCCTTCGAGCGGAATATCTACCTGGATATGACAACCTCATCACAGACTGGTTTTTCTGACACTGGAGAGATTCCAGCGATTGGCAACTGGACCCACAAATATTTCACCAGCTGCAGATCTGGCGGGTACCAGTCAACATGGATCTGTTTGCATCTCGCCTCAACCATCAGACGGACGCATTTTTTAGCTGGCTGTCAGATCCGGCGTACCTTGCAGTCTATGCCTTCTTACAGACGTGGCCAACGTCCGGAGCGTATGCGTTCCCTCCATTTGCCATGATCCCACGGATACTACAGTATCTCAAAACTCAAGGCGTAACTCTGCTGACCCCCAACTAATATTATCAATTTCCTGTTAATTCTTTTTGATCAGGGAGAATCTTACCGGTCTATGCACGTGTTTCGATCTGCTATTTCTGCAGCTCACATTCCTGTTGACAATTCTTCATTAGGCAAACATCCTTCTGTATGTAGACTCTTGCGTGTCATCCGCATCGCAAGGCCTCCGGCTCCTAAATATAGTAATTTCTGGGATGTGGCTCTCATGCTAGCATTCTTAGAGTCTACGCCAGACAAGGAGGCGCTCTCTCTACGCCAGCTGTCAGCCAAATTAGCACTTCTTCTCTGTTTGGTCTCTTTCCGGAGAGTCTCCGACATCATGGCATTTGGCTTTCATGCCCTCGATTTCACTCCAGAGGGGGTGAACTTCCACATCACTAGACGCACCAAGACCAATTCATGTACAGTGAGTTACCCTTATTTTCCGGGGAAACCCCTTCTCTGTGTAGCCTGCTGCGTAAGACACTACATCTCTTAAACTACCACTCTTAGAGCGACTACTGGACCCCTCATTGTGTCTTATGTAAGACCACACAAGCCAGTGTCCTGCCCTACTATTGCTCGGTGGATTAAATGGCCTCTAGCTGGCATTGATTCATCTTTTGGGGCTCACTCGGTTAGATGCGCTGCCGCTTCTTCTGTATTTATGGCTGGAGGCTCCCTGGTGGAGATTTTATCTTCCGCTGATTGGTCCAGGGAGTCTACTTTCCGTACTTTTTATTTTAGGCAATCTCCTCATGTTTCGTTATCCATGCTATCTACGCGTTAAAACAGCAAATATGAAGCCTCCTGTCTTGCCATAAAATTTGGGATTATTCTAACATTTAGTGACCGAATAATCTAAATTTTATTAAAGACAGGAGGCAAATATTTTCCCACCCGAAATACTTTTACCCACCCTTCTAGGTAAGTATCTCATAGTGCCTCCATTTCGAAAGGTGGCTAGTGTTCTCTTGGCTTGTCCTCCTTATTGAACCTATACATGTCATTTGATTTGTAACTTTGTATTTCTTGCATTCAATTTGAATTTTGCATTTTTTATTGCATTTTTAGTTTGGTTTTCTCTTGCCAAAGAGACCATACTTTCACGATATTTCTCTTTCCTTCTAGTGTGAAGATCTCTTGTCATCCCTAATTAAAGTCTCCTACGCCTGTTGAGCACTGTTTTTCTCCTACTTGATCTTACATCATTATCTACTCATCGTTCTCCTGTTCTTCGTTTATATGGTTGACTCTACAACTGTTCGGCTTCATCAAGAAAGAGGAGTTGGATCGTTAACTATTTCTTTGCTGGGAGTTTCAGTAAAGAAAAATAAGCACATTTTCACCTCCTGTCTTTAATAAAATTAAAATTATTCGGTTATTAAATGTTAGAATAATCCCAAAATTGTTTTTTGGCATAAACCACTATCAACTGACATATTGTCTTTTGATGTAATGAAAATGTAAGCTCACCCCTGCTTTCAAACAGTACAGGACGTTTCAATGGGTTATATTATTCATACCATCAGGAAGGTGGAGGAGTGAATGGATTCCATTTCGATCTTATCAGTACATTAGCATTCCAGAGATTGATAAAGATTATTGTGGATGTTTTAAGTATCTTTATTTCAGAAAGATGATTTATATTAACAGTGTTTGGGCTTTATGATAAAAGGTAGACCTTCTTTTTACACTGTGTTGTCATTTTTAGTAAGCTGTATTGCTAGTAATGCTGTCAGGGTCCTAACAAATGCCTACAAGCAAAGTATTTGACTATTTTTATTTATTTTGTCACATCTACTATATGTGAGAACTTTTTTTTTTTTTTTGCTTTTATACTAACATTTCAGACCCTATGTGATATATATAAAAGAGACTCTAAAGCTTTTTATTTCACAAATATTTGTTTCAAGGATGAACAAACAATGAAAAATAAACATTTCCCATCATTTACATGTTTAAGTTTGTCTACAAAGCAATCTATACACAACATTGCTGTGTTATATGTTTATAATCATCCCTCAAAGTAATTTTTCCATCAAGAAAATGCTTGGTAGTGATGGGGTTAAATAATAGTTTGTTTGTTTTCTTGTTTTTTTTTTTTTTTTTTTACCACTTCACTACTGAGCACTTTTTGACTGAAGATTGTAATGTAACATTCTGTAGATCTATCTCCAAAACAAGTATGCATGCACTGTATTTTTGCTGCTTTCTTTGGTATATAAAAACACAGCTTGCAAAAGCTGCAGTTCTGCTGTCTGCAGCCTTTACAACCCCTCCCATTTTTTCCCAGCACATCATTGCCAGGCGATGCTCCAATCCGAGGCTTCTCATTGAGCATGCACGTGATTGTGGATTTCCTATGCTCTTCAATGCACTTTTATAAACTGGCACAAATATGACAAACTCCAGACACACAAAACACTTCAGCAAGTTGAGAACTTCATACGTGAAGTGCTTTATGCATCTGGAATGTTGGATTGTGAAGAGAAAAAAAAAGCTTTTAAAGTGAATATATATTTTTATATAAACAACTTCTGGCAGTGACCTCTGCCTAAACGAACAGCATAGTTTAGGCAGAGGTCACTATAATCTGTTCTCACTTGTGTGAATGGAGCTTTTAGGCACAAATACTTTACCATAGATCCTTCATAGTAAGCTGTCAAAGATCCTGTTGGAGAAGTTTGGACTTGTAACAAGTACTGTACTTAGATGGGCATGGGTAATCTTAATGCTTCTGTGTGCAGGGACACCTTGGCAGGGAATGTCCTAGCTGTATAATATACCGTATATACTCGTGTGTAAGTCGATCTCATGTATAAGTCGAGTGCAGTTTTGTGACCAACAATTGTGAAATATGCTATGCCTCGTGGATAAGTCGAGGGTAAAACTTGGGGCTATGAAATTCTGTGATTTTTAGAATTATATACACACACACTCATACAAACACACACTCTGCATTATATATACACACACACACTCATACAAACACATTCTGCATTATATACACACACACACACACACTCATACAAACACACATTCTGCATTATATACACACAGACACTCATACAAACACACACTCTGCATTATATACACAGACTCTGTGTATATAATGCAGAGTGTGTATATAGTGAAGAGTGTGTGTTTGTGTAGTGTGTGTGAACTGGGTGGGGGGAGGGCATTTTTATTTAAATTTTTTTTTTATTTTAATATTTTTTTTTTAATTATTTAAAAAATTTTTGTCCCCCCTCCCTGCTTGTTAACCGGTCAGGGAGGGGGGCTATCTTAATCCCTGGTGGTCCAGTGGCATGGGCTGTGAAGTGGGGGGGCCGGCAGGAAGCATTTACTTACCTTTCCTGCAGCTCCCTTCTCCTCCGTCCCGGTCAGCTCCACTGTAAGTCTCGCGGTCTGGTTGCCGCGCGGATCGTTGCCACGGCTCTGACGGCCGTGGCTCTCTAAGTTGCCATAATACAGACAGTGACTCGAGTATAAGTCGAGTGGGTGTTTTTAAGCACAAAAAATGTGCTGAAAAACTAGACTTATACTCGAGTATATACTGTAAACAAGATCCTAGGTTGTTATGGTATTTGGTATGCCAATTTTCATAATAGAACATCTCTTGTCATTTTGATAATTTATGTTATTTTTATATAATGTTGCTGTCTTTTAAATGTAAAAATATGTAATTTTTGTGTGTGTGTGTGTGTGTCCCAATTTATTTTTTTACTTTCTATTTATATGCAATAATATAATACAAATTGTTTCCCACAGCATGGTGGTATTTATGTCAAAAGAAGTGCAAAATTCAATGAAAAAGCAATGAGAGAGAAGTTGCAGTGTCAGGTCAAAGCTGGAACTAAAGTAAGTGATTTGTAATTTTTGCATATGCTGTGTTTTCATGATAGATTTATAGATTATATTTCAGCTGTCTAGTTTCATGAGTATATGCTAGATCCTTGACACTAGCATACTGTTTCTTTTTAAAGGGACACTATAGTCACCAGAACAACTACAGTTTAATGTAGTTGTTCTGGTGAGTATAATAGCTCCCTTCAGGCATTTTCATGGAAACACTGCCTTTTCAGAGAAAGAATAAAGCATTTATAATCCTCACCTGTGTATATTGAAAATAAGCTTAGTTAAAAAAAAAAAAATAATAGAAATAAAGGGGACTGCAGAAAGAGACAATTTGGGGCATATTAATAGGGGAGGGGGAGTGACCGAGCCACTTTAAAAGACACTAGGCACAAGTAGGCACTGTAACTGCTTGATCTCATTGTAATTGTTATAATTCCTGTTTTTAGTGTTAAACCAGTTTTAGTGTTTGTTTTACTACTAAACAAGAATTCCTGGCAGCCAGTTTTCACATTCCTAGCAGCCAACCACATTCAGCCTATTACTGGTATAACTAAGGTAGTGTATAATAATCTCTGCTGAAACCATACCTTCAATGGGTGACCAAGCTATTTGTGGCCAGATAACATTATACTGTGTAAAAACCTCTTTTAAAATTATTTAAAGGGACTATAGTCACCAGAACAACTACAGCTAATTGTATTTGCTTTGGTGAGTATACCCTTCAGGCTTTTTGGAGTAAACATTGCCTTTTCAGAGAAAATGCAGTGTTTACATTAAAGCCTAGGGATACTTCCACTGGCCACTCCTCATATGGCTGCTAGAGATGCTTCCTTGGGAAGAGCTGCACAACGTGCAGCACTGCTATTCATTAACTCCACACTCTGCATGAAGACACTGAACTTTCCTCATAGAGCTGCATTGATTCAATGGAACTTTATGACGAGATGCTGATTGGCCAGGTCTGATTTTGGCTTGTGCTGTATCTGCCCCTGATCTGAATCACTGACAATCTCAGCCAATCCAATATGAAAGAATTGTGATTGGTTCCGACCACCACTGATGTCAGTCAAGCAGGAAGATTGGGACAGAGCCAGCAACAGCAGACTGCAATAAATGTAAGATTTTGCTATAATTAGGAAGAGTTAGGGGAGCTAGATGGTGTTTTTCACACTATAGGGTCAGGAATACATTTTTGTGTTCCTGACCCTATAGTGTTTATTTAAATTGCATGGAGGTAATTCAGTGAGATGAAATGGTTATAGTGCCCCTTTAATTTGTTAGGTTATAAACCCCATACAAACAAATCGAAGGTAATAGAACGTAGTGTGAAAATACTTACACTGATCAATTACAAAGTCACACAGAGCTAGTGTAACTGTGTAAAGGATGCTATAAGGTATAGAATAATAATATAGAGACAATAGGTAATGTTGAGACAAAGGCATGGAGAGAACAGAAAGAGATGTGGGGAAAATATGAAAAGTAGATGAATAAGGTAGCATCTTGCCAGGCTTGGGAGACCCTGCACCCAGTAACAGAGTGAAGCAGTCGCAATGCAGAGTGTAGACAATACTGGAGGGATTCCAGAAGATATGAGCGGTATAATGGAAGTGGAAGGCTAAGCTTGTTAACTGGGTGGTAAATAATTGCAAGTCATTCATCTAGAAACCGCGTAAGATCAGTTAAGATAGTCAACCTATTGCTACTGGTGAAAAAGTAAAAAAAGTTTTATAAAAATATATGGTTTGATGGGGGTAAATTACATTGGCCAGCTTCAGAAATGTCCCAAATAGGACATGGGTGCATGATGACCATCTGTGAACATTCCAAGTTGGAAAACTGGAATGCGCACCCTCCAAATAAGGTCTTTCAGCCCCCAAAGAACCCGACCATTGATGGTATCATTGTACCCAGGAGATGTTGCTGTGCTGAACACATATTGTGGTGTTCTTTGGCAGAAACCCTTCAAGTTCTCTGTATATGTATTCTTAAATTGCTGTGTGTGTCAAAAAAAATCACAAATTATTTTTGTTTTATTTGGCATAGATTGGTGGTAAAATGGTTGCATGAAAAGAGTCAAAATACCCCAAGTTTAATACCTTAAGTTGTCTTCTCTTAAAAAATCTATACATGTGGAGGGTTGTTCAGGGATTCACTTGCGTTAAAAAATAAAAAAATGGTTTGGAAATAGCAAAGTGCTACTTGAACTTATTGCCCTATAACTTTCCAAAAAAAGCTAAGAACATGTTAACATTTGGGTATTTCTAAACTCAGGACAAAATTTAGAAACTATTTTGCACGGGTGTTTTCTGGCGGTTGTAGATACGTAACTGATTTTGGTGGTCAAAGTTCGAAAAAGTGTGCTTTTTAAAAAAAAGATTTCATCATATTTTATAAAAAAAAAATGTATAGTAAATTAGATAATATGATGAAAATTATGGTATCTTTAGAAAGACCATTTAATGGCAAAAAAACCCACATAATATGTGTGGGTACAGTAAATGAGTAAGAGGATAATTACAGCTAAACACAAACACCGCAGACATGTAAAAACAGCTCTGATCCCAAACGGTAAGAAAATTGAAAAGTGGTCTGGTCACTAAGAGGTCAAGCAGAAGTGCTTTAAGTGTCTGGACGGTCCCTTTAAGGAATAGTAGACATGAAACTATTTTCAAACATATGTTAATATCAGGTAACATGTTTGGTAAAACTGAAATGACATGGCTCTCTGACAGGAGAATGCACATAAATGTTTGCAGGCCTACTTCGTTGGCTTTCTTGAGAAAAACTGTGGTTAGACAGGATATAGAGCTAATCCGTGGAAATTGAAAATATGTCCAGATAACCCTTGAAAGGCCCAGTAGAAGTGATAGTTCAAAGCCTCAGCCCCAAAAATGCCTATAGCAGGAAGCAACAGTCAAGAGTAGCAAACAGAGAAGGTCTTGTATGATCTGGCAAAGCTGTTCCAAAGTGCCGGAGAGTTGTTGTAACTGGGGTCCAAAATAGAAACTGCTACTTTATATGCAGGTTTAACAGCTGCTGTGCAGCCAGTAAACTGTATTTCTGAAGGTGAACAACTTGGTAACAAAAATGTAGATTGCAGCAGTGTGATACAGTGGAGTTCAAGCGCTCAGCCTCAATAATGATCAGTAAGAGCATTGGGTTGGCTAAAATCAGAGTGGGGGCGGCGCCAAACGCTGTTTTAGCCAATCAACACCTCCTCATACAGATGCATTGAATCAATGCATCTCTATGAGGAAAATTCAGCATCCCCATGCAGAGCGTGGAGACACTGAACAGCAGTGCCCCCTACTGTGCAGCACTGAGCCAAGAAGCCCTTCCAGTGGCCATCTGAGGAGTGGCCACTTGGAGGTGTCCCTAGAGGGCAATGTAAACACTGCCTTTTCTCTGTTTGCATTAAAATGCAAGCAGGCAATGATTATACTTGCCAAAACAACTACATTAGGCTGTAGTTGTTCTGGTGACTATAGTGTCCCTTTAACTATTAGAAATTTTGAACTATAAATTACATTATTTGTTTTTGATGTAGTGTTGATGACTATCTTGAAATACTCTTGGATTATTGTACTTTCGTACTTGTAATACTATAATAATGTATTTGGTTTGCTTATTTGATGCCTAATTTTGCTTGACAATATTTATAGTATGTTCCAGTAATTTTCTGCAATTATATACTCTGTATGTCATATTTGTTGGGATCTGGCTTTTACTATCATGGCAAAGTTAGTAATTTAATAGCCTTATGTTTTTTTTTTGCAATGATGGACTTTATATTTGGCACTGCTCAGTGTTGTGTAAAAATTAACTTTTGTTGTCTGTTACATAGTTACATAGCTGAATAGAGACTTGCGTCCATCAAGTTCAGCCTTCCTCGAGTATGTTTTTGCTGTTGATCCAAAAGAAGACAACAAAAAAAAAATCTAGTCTGAAGCGCTTCCAATTTTGCAACAAACTAGGAAAGAATTCCTTCTTGACCCCAAAATAGCAGTCAGATGTCTCCTTGGATTAAGCAGCTATTACCCCACTAATTAGAAATTATATTCCTGTATGTTATGGTTTTGCAAGTATTTATCCAATTGCAGTTTAAACACCTGTATGGACTCTGATAAAACCACCTCTTCAAGCAGAGAATTCCATATCCTTATGGCTCTTACTGTAAAAAAAAAAAAACATTTCTTTGCCTTAGATGAAATCTCCTTTCTTCCAGCCTAAATGTGTGACCTTGTGTCCTATGTAAATCCCTGTTTATGAATAGATTTCCAGATAATGGTTTGTACTGGCCCCGAATATATTTGTATAATGGGATCATATCCCCTCTGAGGCGCCGTTTTTCCAAACTAAAGAGATTTAAATTCTTTAACCTTTCTTCGTAACTAAAATGCTCCATTCCTTTTATCAATTTTGTAGCTAGTCTCTGCACTTTTCCTAGTGCCATGATATCCTTCTTTAGAACAGGTGCCCAAAATCGCACAGTATATTCAAGGTGTAATCTTACCAGCGATTTATAAAGAGGCAAATACATTTTTTCATCCGAGAATTTATGCCCCTATTTATACATGACAAAACCTTACTGGCCTTAGCAACTGCAGATTGACATTGCATATTGCTGCCTAATTTGCTGTCTATAACAATTCCCAAATCCATCTTGTGTGTGGTTATCCCTAATTCACTACCATTTAGGGTGTAAGTTGCTTGTGCATTCTTGACCCTGAAGTGCATAACTTTGCATTTCTCTATGTTAAATTTCATCTGCCATTCTAGTGTCCAGTCCCCCAATCTATCTAAATCTCTCTGCAGCAAAGCAATATCCTGCTCACATTTTATTACTTTACAAAGTCTTGTGTCATCTGCAAACACTGTTACATGCCTTTCAATGCCTATTTCAAGATCATTTATAAATATGTTAAATAGAAGCGGTCCTAAAACAGAACCCTGAGGGACAACATTTACCACTTTTGTCCAGCCTCAAAATTTACCATTATTGTCTACATTTTTTTTTCCTCTGACGTGCATGTATAATTTTTTCATAGTTTGCTTTTCAAAAACACTTCAATCGTTACCAATGCCTTTTTAAAGTGAACGTGCAACAAGTGGGTTCTTCACATTTTTTCAAAGACTCGGCAAGGTGTCATATTTGCTTTCATATGCAATGAAATATATTTATTCTGTCCCTCTTCAGCGCTGCCATACTTATTTGTCTCCTATTGACTTCATTTGTGCATCCGATTCTAACGCTTTCGCTGTAAGACAAAGCAGAGTCCACGGAGGATTCCAGTTGAATGCAGTATCTTGAATAGCTTATCTTGTGCCTGTTCAATAAAGTGCCAAAGGTATCCATTGTGCATGTTATTGCAGATACATTGCATAAGCGTGCCCCAAGAATGGGGTACATTGGCGTTGTGGCAGGCTTATGCAATTTATGATCACATCATTGTACAGCGCTACCGAATCTGATGCTGCTATATAAATAATAAAATAATAATGTAACTAAACCCCCATTATATTTTGCCTAGGTGAGGTGTTTTTTAAACAAAACTATTACAATCTCTAAGATTTGAAATCATTGTTTAGTGAATAAGTGAGTGCGCTTGATTATGTATTTTCTATGTTGTGTAAATTGGCCACAGCAGCACCCTGTAATATATACATGTTCAGGTGAGGGCAGCCATCCTTGGGCTGCTCTGCAATTTAATGTAGTACACTTTAAGTAATAGCACTCCAACACTTTCTTCTGTGTTGTGTAAGTAAAACTTAGCTTTTATTTAATTGTTCCAAAATAAAAATTAAAAAAATCTACTTTTCCCGTTTACATGGATAAACTTGCTTCAGGAGATGTATCTATATTATTAGTGTTATATAAAGAAAAAATCATTGTTTAGTAGATATTTACCCTCAACGAAAACATACATTATTTAATTGGAAGTATATCTAAAACCAGCTCGCAAAAGCTGTAGTTCTCGTCTGCTGCCTTGGCAAGCCCTCCCCTTCTAAACCCACCCAGACTTTCTGTGGCTGTCCAGTCAAACATTTTCCAATGCAGCTCATTGAGAAGTCATTGCAAGGCAGCTGCTCAAGGCAGTCGCCTGCCTTTTGAGTTAAACTCCATTGAGCTAACCAAACCAGGAAGTAACAGGGCCGGTGTAAGGATTCATATGAGATTGACTAAAACTTCATCCCTGAAAGGCTTAATGTTAGTCTCACATTAACTCTTTTAGGGATGGAGTGTTCAATCTCTCATTAATCCTTACAGTCGTTTTTTTATTAACATTTTGGGGAGGGGTGTAACAAGGTTATTTTATATAAGTGGTCATTTGGTGTAATCAAACACTGAAGCCATATTCTCTCTGCAGCCTGATCCTGTTCTAGTTATGCACTCACTGTGGGGGAGGGACGGGGCATTTTGTCATTGGTCAACGGTCACCAGAATCCTATGAGAATGGACCCCAATATGCACAGAATTAACATTAGCCAGCCTGAAACACTAATGCAAGTGCCACTGCTGTTTTAGCCATGCAATAAACTGTCATTTTGTACAGATGGCAGTTTTTTTATTGTAGGGTTAAACCTACCTGACAACCACTAAAAGCGCTTTGCCTTTGAGCATGAGTCGGGCTCTGTTTTCAATCAAATACTACTCCTAGAGACCATAAAGGTTTGGTGATTTGCCATGTATAAGCACTAGCCTCCTAGTTCTTCTACTTCAAATTTGAACTACAGCAAGTCTGATACTACATTAAGTTACAGGCAAGACCCATAACATCTTCTGTCTGGGGGTGGTAGTATGTCGAATGTGCTATAGTTGAGAGCATACTGGTTTCATAGGGTATTTATCAAAGTTAGGTCACAAGGTAAACCTACTGCAAACAAGGATAAGCCTATAGTTTTGCTACTCAAACAAGATCTGCTTAGGCTTATGTTATGAATAATTTAGCAAAACTTGTATCATGTTTGTAAGCCTTTTCTAGCAGTCTTATTCCTTCAAGCATATGAGCGGTTTCGCTGACAATTTAATCCCTAGATGAAAATAAATGAGTAAAGGATCTAAGTGTGCATGTGTGGATTGGCATGCTTTATAGGGTTGCTCTGTGGTTTTGTGTATTTAAACCAGCAAAGCTGTCAGAAATCGGTGTCAGGGTTTGTTTGCAGTAGCTGAGATTAATCCAGACAGCTATTGGGAGTCACCAGATATTTTACATGCTCTTTGTACTGAATCAACTTTAGACTTGGGTGTTGCACCACTAAACTTTAAATTGTAGCCAAACAACCAAATCCAGGCTCAATTAGGTGATGTTTTTAAAAAAAAATAAATAAAAATATATCCACAAGTAATCCTCTTATTATGACCTTATATCTGGGCATTAGCCTTCAAGTAGCCCTCCTAATTTTTCCAAATTGTTCCATATCCTTTTATAGACTGACGCCTTGGGATGTATAGCTTTTGCAACTATTGAAAAGAAACTGTCATAGTTTATTTTAAATAAAATACATAGGTGTATTATAGCATTTGTGAATATTATTTTGTAATGCATACATATATATAAGTAAATGGATTTCAGGGCATCTCCAGCCCTACTCTTACTCAATGGGGGACATCTTAAAAATACACTTTGAGCGGTAATCGAATGTTCATATTGTGCACAGCTTTGGCAGATGCTTGGTGTCAAACCAAATAATATGTAAAGATGTCTATCCTGACAGAGCAAGGGTGAGATAGGAAATGCTATAAAAATATAATTGTCTTGTATGAATGGATTTCAATAATACAGATAGAACCTATAATACAGGCAATCTTTTTATATTCAGTAATAACAAACAATGGCAATTTTACGTTAAGCTCTCACTCATTGTGAAAAAGGAAATTTCTATTCAAAGCAAACTTGCCCATTTAAAAATACGTTTCAGTATTATGGTATTAATCAAGGCCATCATTTATGTTTTTAACTTGGGTTTGTTGATATGAACTAAATTTGCATTTTACTATATTGTACAATATATTTATGCACATTTCATTTTTGTATTAACTGGATTAGGCAGAAAATGTAATAAAGCAGGGAATGCTATCAGAATGCTTGGTTGTATAGGGAGAGGTATTAGCAGTAGAAAGAGGGAAGTGCTCATGCCATTGTACAGAACACTGGTGAGACCTCACTTGAAGTATTGTACACTGTACTGGAGACCCTATCTCCAGAAGATACTTTAGAGCAGGGGTAGTCAACCTTTTTCTACCTACCGCCCACTAATGCATCTTTCTTGATGGAAAAATTTCTTTACCGCCCACCAGTTTTCACGCAAGTGCAGACAATTTTTTTAGAAAGGCGTGTGTTTTAAAAAAAATAAATGTACGTACATTTATCTTTTTATTTCTACTTAATGCATGTTTATAATGTTTTTAACTTTAAAAAGTTTAATGAGAAAACAATAAAGTAAATTGAAATTACCTTTAACTAGTGAGGTTGATGCTGCGAGACTAAATATTTTAAATCTGGTTCGATTTTCGTAAGGAACAAAGAGGTCTCCTCTTTTGGTGATATTCAGATGACTTCTCTGTTTGCGCATAATACGATTTCTCATCTGTGCGTCAGCTCCGCTCCTCAATTTCCATTTTCCTTTTTTCTTTCCTTTTGACCTTTCTTATAGCAATGCCCAGCAGGAAGGCTGAGCTAAGTATCCCACTTACTGTTATTAGCCAACAACAATTCTCTCCTTTTCCTATTTTTTATTTTCCTTCTTTCTCCTTTTTTACAAGTAGTCTGCTCTTTCTTTCTTCTCTTCCACAAGTACTCTGCTCCTTCTTTCTTCTATTCTACAAGTACTCTGCTCCTGCTTTCTTCTATTCTACAAGTACTCTGCTCCTGCTTTCTCCTTTTTACAAGTACTCTGCTCCTTCTTTCTCCTTTTTACAAGTACTCTGCTCCTTCTTTCACCTTTTTACAAATATTCTGCTCCTTCTTTCTTCTATTCTGCAAGTACTCTGCTCCTTCTTTCTCCTTTTTTACAAGTACTCCTCCTTTATTTTATCCCCTTTTTTTCTATTTTTATTCCCCTTTTTTTTAAAATCTTTTCCTTTTTATCTCCTTTTTTTTTTTAATGCTTTTCTTTTACCCTGCTTATGGCATTGTACAAAAGTAAGGCTGAGCTAGTTAGCCCACTTATTATTATTATTATTATTATTATTATTAGCCAACAACAATTCTCTCCTTGTCCTGCCTATAACTTTTCTTTCTCCTATTTTACAACTGCTCTGCTCCGCTTGTGCCTGCTTCAGCCTGTCCCTGCTATCGTGCATCAGCTCCCACTCCTCCCCTTCCTCTTCCCACGTGTTACACGTTTGCGCGTGCATGTACGTGTTCGCGTGCACGCATTCACGTGTTTGCACGCGTTCGCACTTTCATGTGTGCCCACCAGTAGGCTGTAGGAACCAGGATGACGACCCATGCTTTAGAGAGAGTTCAGAGAAGGGCTACTAAACTGGTTCATGGATTACTGGATAACACTTACCAGGAAATGTTAAAGGATCTTAACATGTATAGCTTGGAGGAAAGACGAGACAGGGGGGATATGATAGAAACATTTAAATACATAAAGGGAATCAACACAGTAAAGGAGGAGACTATATTTAAAATAAGGAAGGCTATCTCAACAAGAGAACATAGTCTTAAATTAGAGGGGCAAGGGTTTAAAATGATATCAGGAAGTATTACTTTACCTAGAGCAGGCTTCCCCAAACTCCGGCCCTGCAGATGTTGCTGAATTACAACTCCTATGATTCTCAGCCTATCTATTTCATTCATAGAATCATGGGAGTTGTAGTTCAGCAACATCTAGAGGGCCGGAGTTTGGGGAAGCCTGACCTAGAGGGTAGTGGATGCATGGAATAGCCTTCCAGCTGAAGTGGTAGAGGTTAACCCCGTGAAGGAGTTTAAGCATGCGTGGGATAGGCATAAGGCTATCCTAGCTATAGGATAAGGCCACGGACTAATGAAAGTATTTAGAAAGTTGGGCAGACTAGATGGCCGAATGGTTCTGCTGTCACATTCTATGTTTCTATTTCTATGTGATAGAGGACTATTATTTCCCTGGTAATAGTGCTCAATGATACAATGTTACCCAAATGCAGCACCATTATTTGTTTGAGATTTCTTTTTGATAATGTTGACTATGATGAGGTCATATGGTACAGGTAAAATTGTTTAACATGTGTTTTCAGTAGATCTGAGTTAAAGGGACACTTCTTCTGCCCATTGGAGTGATCTGGGTGCCAACTCCCATAACCCTTAACCCTGCAAGTGTAATTATTGAAGTTTTTATAAACTGCAACAATTACCTTGCAGGGTTAAGTCCTCCTCTAGTGGCTGTCTATCAGCTTCTTAGAACACGAAAAGTGTTTTAAACAATGCTGGACGTCCACACGCTATGCATGAGAACCTCCGGCGTCGCTGTAATCCCCATAGGACAGCATTGCAGTGCATTCACCCATTACACCCATTCACCCATTCATTCACCCATTACATTCACCCATTACCAAACAATATGTCAAGGTAGTTGGACTGAAACATTGGTTATATGCAAATGCACGTTTCCTTAAAATAAATGCGCTCTTTTGTTTACTTTGGAGCCCTACAAGCGTGAGGTTGTCCAGTGTCAAGCAACTTTTTTTATACTGTACCTTTCAAAATAAACCTATGTTTCTATGAAAACTGACATTTTTGTTTTTTTGCAGCCCACATAAACCTTATTTATTTGGCCATTCTTAGCCATTGTGTTTGACATGCTTGCTGTAAAAGATGATAATCTGTATCAAGGGACATGAACTGAAAGACCACAATCAAACTATGGATTCTGTAGAATTGTAGAGGTTAAAACTGTGTAATCTATCTTGATATCCTTTAGGACTTTGTTTAGGAGCTCAGTTCAGGGAAACTAATCAAATACAAGGTGTTGGAGAACTTAAAACTTATATTGCCATTTTTTTAATTCAGTTGCAGATAACTTGCATTTTGTTGCTTGAGACATTCTGATTAATGGCATAAACACATGATGGTGGCACATCATAGAAATTGGCTAAGTTAAGGACTCTTGCATCTCTTAGAATTGCCATGTATTACTTGAAATTCTGGTGCATGAATGTACATTTATTTGATGAAGCCAGTAGACCTTCTAACATACAGGACATACCGTATTTTGTTTTCTTAAATTGCAAATGATTTATTGCAGGTAGTAAGTATGAATGCTTTATTAATACATTGATTAAGATAAAGTAAAAGTTCTGACCGTTTTACATATTTTACAGATGTATCTTGTGATTTTCCCTGAAGGCACTCGTTACAATCCAGACATCCCAAAGGTCATAGTTGACAGCCAGGCATTTGCCATGAAAGAAGGTAAAACATGGGAATTTGCATACAGAAGCTTCAATAAAATGCATGCCTAGTAACTCTTTTGAGATATGTATATCCCTGTCACCCAAACCTCATACTATCGTGGCATTATTTATTTTCTTCCCCAAGTGTGTTCAGTGTGTTTGGCTTCAGAGAACAATTTCTTAAAGCCATTGTTGCTGATTTTCAGTATACTTCCACGTTAAAGCATTTAAAGAGACACTATAGACACCCAGACCAGTTAATCTAATTGAAGTGGTCTGGGTGCAGTGTTCCTGTTCCCTTAGCCCGTCAATGTAATACATTGCAGTTTTACAGAAAATGTTTACATTGCAGTGTTCAGATTGCCTCTAGTCTTAACACTCTAGTCTTAACTCCATGAAACAGCGCTGGACGACCTCATGCTTTACATGAAGACATCCATTGTCAAGCAATACTCCGAAGAAAAGCACCAAGTTGATGCTTTCCTATGGAGAGTCCTAGTGTGCACGCGGCAGGTTCCCCCATCAGCTGATGGCACAGGAGGAATGCGACCCAGTATCGAGGGACATCAATGCTGGAATCAGGTGAGTGAAAGAGAGTGTGTTTTTTTTAACCTTTTAATGGACGGGGGAATCGGGGCGGTACGGAGTTAGAGCAACATTATAGTGTTAGGAATACATGTTTGTATTCCTAACACTAAAGTGTTCCTTTAATATTCAGGAATGTGACCGGATGTTTTCTCAAAGAGCATAAGATGGAGTCAAAGCAGTACTTTCCACATCATTAGACACAAAAGTAGAAAAAAAATATATGCATTCAGGAAGCCATATTGAAAAACATAATTCAGAGATGACTGAGAGACACCCTTTGTAGGCCTACATGTATTTGCCATGACTTAACATACATTAAGAAGCATGTAAACTTATCCTCAGACAACCTTCAGATGACAGTAATGGATTAGTAGCTCAGTCACAGTTTAGAACAAAAACATGTCTACATCTGTTTAATATTACTGATTTCATATCTAGGTGAAATAAACTTTTGAGGATTTAAAAACACCATTCCCACGACTGTAAACTCTCAGCTTGGTGTCTGATACCCTCAGCAGGCCATGGCTTTTGACTTGACCAAACGATCCGCCCAGTGATTCAGTAATGGTCTTCATTTATCGGAGTCTTAAAGCTGCAGTCTCAAAGCAGTCATTTATAAGCTTTTGGGCTATTTTAAGGACTTCTTTTAATTCTTCTTAGAAAGTGGTTGACTTAATTCCAGGCAATAATGCATTTTTTTTTTTTTCTTTTTACTGAAAACTCATGCTGTCATGTTGGCGCAACATACGATAAAGACTCACAGGGAGATTAGATTTTCTCACAGGATCCTTAAACTCTACACATGCACAAAAATACATTCTCATAAAAAAAACACAAAACTGCAGCTTTTTTCAGTTCTTATGATGATAGAGCAGGACCTTTTTATCAGGACATTGTACTTCTAAATGACATAATACTCAGAAACCCATAATATCATGGATTTAGACTTGTGTGTTATAAAAGTGCTGCATGTGATCAATCCCTGCAGTAGAGATCTGAATATTTCAAAATTATAGAGTTGTACATGGTTAAAAGGATACTAAAAGTGCAAGGATGTATTCCTGACACTATAGCCCCTCTGCCAGCCCCCTCCCTCACGCACTTCCGTCCTCAGTTTTCGAAAGGGTTAAAAACCCTTTATTTACATGCCCAATCCCAGCACCGATGTCCCTTGGCGCTGGGTCACTGCTCCACCTCCTCTGACGGTGCTTAATAAGGGGGCACTAATGCACATATGCATCAAGCGCCGCACGCATTAGAATCTCCCTATAAAAAAGCAGTGGATCAGTAGTTTCCTAGAGGGAAAAAAATCTGACACTTGATGTCCTCATGCAGAGCGTGAGGACATCCAGCATCAGATACGGGATCAAAGGTCTGTTTGGATGCAGGAAGGGCGTCCAGTGGCTGTCTCCAAGACTTAAGGCAGACTTATGCAGCAATGTAAACATGCTTCAATGAGCTGAAGTGGTCTGGGTGCCTATAGTGTCCCTTTAGCTAGGGTACATGGCTACGGTGAAGTAACTGAATGAAGAAGAAGCTTAGTCTGTGGTATTTTCATTTTTAGATCTGAACATTGTGATTATTAAGCCTTACCATTGCTGAGTATTATATAATTAAAAAAAATGGGACCAGACTGTGTCCATGCAACCCCATATGCAGCAAACAGCAATGCACTCTGTGTTCTGACTACTTTCTATCATGTCCAGCATTAGATTTTTCAGCAATTGGAGCTACAGTAGCTCTTCTGTGTGATCGGACCAGAAGGGCTAGTCTTCGTTCCCCACGTGCTTCAACAATGATCTTTGAGTGCCCATGACCTCGATGTCGATTTTAGCCTTTCCTGCACCGCTTTTGGTAGTTACTAACCACTGCATACAGAACATCCCACGAGACTTGACATTTTGCCAATGCTCTGACAAGTCATCTACTCATTACTATATGGCCCTTGTCAGTCACTCAGGCTTTTTGCCCATTTCACCTGCTTTCAACACAACCAATGAAATAACTGACTGCTCACTTTCTGCCTAATATATCCCCCACCTTTACAGGTGTCAGTGTAAAAATACTATAGTCACCCAGACCACTTCATTGAGATGGATGCTGGGTGTAGTGCCTCTGGCCCCTTAACCCTACAATGTAAAACATTATGTCTAGGTGTCCTCTAGTTATAATGTGATAATGTTATAATGATTTGTAGTTCAGATCGCTTAGTGGTGTCAGTGGCTAATCTGTTGCATACCTTTTTGATAAGAAGGTCTTTTTCAGTATGGTGATGTATCTAAAATGGCAGGCTCACGGTGCCACATTTTGCAAAACATTTATAGGTGCTCGGAGTGTCCCTTTAAGTCCACCTGTAATGACAGTCAGTTTGACAGCCATCAGAGGCACTTCCGCTGCACTGACGGAATAAAACTCAGTCACGTGACACAGAAGCCCAATAGAAAAGCATTGATTCAAGTGCTGCTGAGACCAGTGTGGACCAGAACACTATAGCATTGGGTATTGGGTATTTCTCGTGCTATAGTGTTCCTTTGAGTAATCTGGTTCTGCTGTATATTGTCTGTGGCTGCCAAGTATTACAATGATATGTGATACATTTCTATAGGTAAAGATTTCCTTTTTCTAGGTCTTCCAGTATTGAAACATGTGTTGACTCCACGTGTGAAAGCTACCCATGTTGCAATTGACGCGATGCAGAACCACCTTGATGCTGTCTACGATGTCACGGTAGCATATGAAGGAACTACAAACCAAGAAGGACAAAGGAAAGAGGCTCCATCAATGACAGGTATTCCATATATAAATGCTTGCAGGTATGTGTCAACATTCCTGAGCTAGACAAGTTATATTTTATTTGCTATAAATCCTTTGGTTGAAGCTGTTAAAACTTGGATTGATCTCAAGTAAGATGTAATGCGCTGCGTGTCGGTGCCAAATACCATCCCAAGTGTGCAATTTATTTTGTCACACAACTGTCTTATATCCTTATCATGTAAATTTATTAGTGCTATTAAACTGCTTTATAAAAATGCAGCCTTTGTAAATCTTTTTTCAGTTCGTAATATATACTTAGTGACGGTTACCACATTACGCTGTTGTTTAGGGGGACCTGGATATCTTTGGCAAGGCTTGGATCTAGGGGAACTCCTGGATCAAACACAGTCATTCAGCCATGTCCATGAATCTACCACGTTTGGGACACTGGGGTTAATATTGATTATTATTTTTTTTGTAATCCTCATGGGCATAATGTATTTTTTTTTTTTTTTTTTTCAATTTATTTGAATTCTGTGATTTAGATAGCTGGTGTGGGTAGCAGTGGGAAATTCGGTGTTAGGATAGTTAGGGGTTAAAAAAAAGTTTAAACAAAGCAAAAAAAATCTATTTTTATGGTAGTTTAGTTGTAGTTATAAAGTGCAGTCTGAAAATGCTTAGAAGCGAGGAGGATTATAAAATTTTAACGGCCGATTCTGAGATTACAGCGCCTCAGTGAGTGACACAGGTGATTTCCCTGACGCTGCCCAAAACGCATATGACTGGATTCCCCATTCCAATGATTTCACCCCCTGACATCCCTATCGTTTCTGCAACTCCAGGCATACAGACTGGTGTGACCAGATATGGCCCAATCCCTATGATGAGCAGTTTCTTACCCAGAACCCTGAATCAATTACTGCCAGTAAAGTAGCATGGTACCACACCAGTTTGGCTGAATTAAAACAATATTAACGGGGATCATAAGGAATTATCTATTATTACCTGGAATTTGAAAAAGAATCCTATTTGCTATACCCCAATTTTTTCACAAACTAGAAAGATGCAGACATGAAGCATGACTCAATTTTCTGCATTTTAACGATAGCAGTGTGTGCTTACAAAGAACTAATCCGAAGTTTTATTATTTATAAAGCGCCAACAAATTCTGTAGCGCTGTACAATAGGTGGACTAACAGATGTATTTGCAACAAGACAATTTGGACACACAGGAACAGTGTTAAGCTCCATTATATACATCTATGAAAATGCTCTCTTAATAAGCTGATATTCTCACGCCTCTTATATTGCACTTTAACTCCCAGATTGAGCAGTGAGACTGTAGGACAAGCATGTCAAACTCAAAGGCTAAATCGGGCCAAATAAGCACATTTACTTGGGCCGCAAAAAAAATATTTCGGAAAGTACAGTATAAAAAAAAAAAAGTTACCGAACTGACACTGGACGTCCTCACGCTTGTAGGGCTTCAAAGTGAACAAAAGAGCGAATTTATTTTAAGGAGACGTGCATTAGCATATAACCATCGTTTCAGTCCAACTACCTTGACATATTAAAGGAACACTATAGTCACCTAAATTACTTTAGCTTTCTGTTTATACAGCCCTAGCCACACCTCCCCTGGCTATGATTGACAGAGCCTGCATGAAAAAAAAAACTGGTTTCACTTTCAAACAGATGTAATTTACCTTAAATAATTGTATCTCAATCTCTAAATTGAACTTTAATCACATACAGGAGGCTCTTGCAGGGTCTAGCAAGCTATTAACATAGCAGGGGATAAGAAAATCTTAATTAAACAGAACTTGCAATAAAGAAAGCCTAAATAGGGCTCTCTTTACAGGAAGTGTTTATGGAAGGCTGTGCAAGTCACATGCAGGGAGGTGTGACTAGGGTTCATAAACAAAGGGATTTAACTCCTAAATGGCAGAGGATTGAGCAGTGAGGCTGCAGGGGCATGTTCTATACACCAAAACGGCTTCATTACGCTAAAGTTGTTCAGGTGACTGTAGTGTCCCTTTAAGAAATGTTTGGTAATGGGACCAAAACGGTGAATGTATGCTGTTGAACACGTGTAAAAAAACAAATTAAGTTATCTTGTTTATTTTGAAGTTCTATGAGTGTGATCTCAGCCAATCCAATGTTTTCCCATATGAAAGCATTGGGAGGCTATTGTGCATGTGTGGCAAAAAGCTGCAGGGAGAAAAATAATCTCCATGAGGAGCGTTCAACGCCTCCATGCAAATCCACTCTAGTACACTGCCCACAAATCCAATACATTGCCCTCCCTCCACTGTTATACACTGCCAACTTCACCCAATCTAATACATTGCCCCTTACTCTAATACACTGCCCCTCTGCTCTAATTGAATAGACTACCCCCACTCCACTTTAATACACTGCTCTCCCTACCCCTAATTTAACACATTGCCCCTCCACCACCACCACTCTAATACACTGGCCCCCTCTCTTCCTCAAATACACTGCCCCCTCACCTCCCCAATTTAATACACTGTCCCTTCCCTCTCATAAATTAATACACTTCCTCCCAATTTAACACACTGGCCCCTCTCCCTTCCTCAAATACACTGCCCCCTCCTTCCTTCAAATACACTGCCCCCTCCCCAATTTAGTACACTGTCCCTTCCCTCCCTCAAATTAATACACTAGCCCCCTCCCTCCCCAAATTAATACACTGCCCCCCTTCTTCCTCAAATTAATATACTGGCCCCCTCCCTCCATCAAATTAATACACTGGCACCCTCCCTCTAAATAATACACTGGGCCCCTCCCTCCTCCAAATAAACACACTGCCCCACCATTGTATTCTTTAGATTGTAAGCTCACGAGCCATCTAGCCAAGCACTTTATATAAAAGATCTCCAATGGCTAGATATCAGCTTATGGGCAGGGCTCTCTCTACCTCTTGTATTTGTCTGTGTATATTGTACGTTCTCCACTAATTGTACAGCGCTGTGGAATCTGTTGGCGCTTTATAAATACCAGTAATAAATAAATAAATTTAGGAACAGGAGCAACTCTGCCACGAAACCGAAGACCATGAAAGTCACAGAGTGGGGTTACCGAGAGCTGAAGTGCTTGGTGCGTTAAAGCCCCCAAAACTCTGCTGATTCCATAGCTGAAGAGTTCCAAACTTCCACTTGCAATAATATCAGCGCAAAAAACAGCAGCAAGAGCTTCACGGAATAGGATTCCATGGCCGAGCAGCTGCATGCAAGCTTCACATCACCAAGTGGTGTAAAGCACCCCACTACTGGACCCTGGAACAGTGGAAATGTGTTCTGTGGAGTGATGAATTACAATTCTCTGTTTGGCAATCTGATGGGCAATTATCAGAAAACGATGCCTGACTGCATTATGCCAACTGTAAATTTTCATTGGAGGGAGGATAATGGTATTGTTATGGAGCTAGGTCCATTACTTTTAGTGAAGGGAATTTTTAATGTTTCCAACTCACTATGTAGTTTAAGCTCATTTGGTAGTGTTTACAACTTTTTTGGGTGTTATGCAACAAGCTTTGCGCGCCTGGATGTTGGTAGTTTCTGCCATTCATCTCTGCAGATCCTCTCAATCTCTGTTAGGTTTAATGCGGACTGTTCATGGGCTGGGCCACGCAAGGACATTCTCAGGGTTGTCTCCAAGCCATGCTTGTATTGTCTTGGGTGTCTGCTTATGCTCATTGTCCTGTTGAGTCCCGAGTGCTTTGGGTCAGGTTTTTATAAGGATATTTCTTTACTTTGCTGCGCTCAGCTCTCCCTCAACCACGACCAATCTCCCAGTCCCTGCTGCTGAAAAACACCCCCAAAGTATGATTTTAGCACCACCATTCTTGCCCATTGGAATGGTATTGCACAAATGATTAGTGGACCTGGTTTCCTCCTCACATAATGCTATGAATTATGAGGCCAGGCAGTTCAATCTTTTTTTTTTTTTTCACCAGACCAGAGAATCTGTGAGAATCTTAGTACTCACAGTCTGAGAGCCCGTAGGTGCAATTCCAAACATGCTTTAATGTGTCTTGTAGTGATTAGATGATTCGGTCTGACCAGTCTGCCATAACGGTGGAGTGTTGCTGAGATGGTTGTCCATCTGCAAATTTCTCTCATCTCCACACATGATCTCTGGAGCTCACCCAGAGTGACAAGCACTCCCTTGGTCTCTTACCAAGACACTTCTCCCGCGATTACGCAGTTTAGGCTGAATATCCAGCTCTACGAAGTGTCCTGGTTCTTTAAAACTTCTTTCATTTGAGTTCTTGTGGACCTTTATTGCATACAATTATTTTTTATTTATTTTTTTTGTAGCCTTCCTAGCTACAAATCCAGACTCAATCCTGTCTCTGAGCTCTGCAGCCAGTTTCTTTGACCTCATGGCTTGGTTTTTGCTCTGATATGCATTTACAGCTGTGAGACCTTATATGAAGATAATCCAGTGAAATGTCATAGCAAAGGGGCTGAATATTTATGTCTGTGGTATTTCAGTTTTTAATACATTTGCAGAATTCTCTGGTTTTAGCTGTTATTATGGAGCATTGAGTATATATTAATGTGGAAAAAATAGTTTGATACCCAATATGTGTACATAAAGCAATATTATTTAGAAATAAAAATGTAAAAATGAGGGGGGAGGATGGGGAATGAAAATATAACTCACTTATTTCTCAGTTTTACATTTAATAATTTCTACACACCAAGTGCATATAAAGAAAACTAACTCAAAATAGATTCACTAATTATTCCTGATTGTAAAATGCCCAAAATGTCTACGATTTCAATTAATTTTGAGAAGTTCTAAAACAAATTCTGCAAGGAGTAAATTATGGTTTTAAAGCCAAAATTTTCCATGCTAAGATTACAGCTTTTAATTGTAGTCACAATTAAATATCGCTCAGCTGCGGTTTTAGATATAGATATATACATACATACATACATACATACATACATACACATACACACACACACACACGTATAAAATACACAATGCAGCGCACTCACTTATTCACTAAACAATGATTTCAAATCTCACAGATCTCAATAGTTTTATTTAAAACACCTCATCTAGGCAAAAATGATGGGGGTTTAGTTACATTATATGATCATACATTGCATAAGCCTGCCACAATGTCAATGTACCCCATTCTTGGCAAGTCCTACTCTAGCAGCCTAATGCTTGCTGTTATGAGATTAATCCAATTACTTGGGAAATACTTCCTTACTGGGACTCTCTGCAAGTCAAGGCTAAATAGGGTCCTGGAATGAGGCACCTGTGACAGGGAGGGGTGCAAAACCAATCGGTTGGCCTGGAGTCCCAAATATATAGATGAAACCAAGAGGGCTGCACTCACCTGAACAGTACAATTTGTGAGATTTGAAATCATTGTTTAGTGAATAAGTGAGTGCACTGGATTCTGTATTTTGTATAAATGGCCCCAGCAGCACCCTATAAAGTATGCATATTCAGGTGAGTGCAGCCCTCTTGGTTTAATACACACACACACATACTCTCGAAAACTTGGGGTTCTCACAGTTAGTGGACCAGCTATCGGCGGGAACCCCAGGTTTGAAGAGATACCTGGGTTAATTGGTAAAAGCAAGGATATAACACCTGCAGGTACTTTTACTACATGTGTTCACTGGACAGTAAAGCCCTGCACTGCATAGACATGATCCCGTATCTCTCTTTTAAAGTAAAACATGTTTGACTTTAAAAAAAAAAAAACTAGGTCATATATAGCCAAGATCGCGCTCTTCCTTTAACCCCTTAACGCCATTACGGCGTTCTATGCCGTCCCCATTATAATGGGCTTTAAAGCCGTTGCGGCGGCCTAGGACGCCGTAAAGGCTAAAGCCCCCAGGAGGTGAGATTTACTTACCTCCGCCGCGATCCTCTTCAGGAGGACTGCCTGACAGCCCAGGCAGTTGTCCCACGGCAAATGAGGCCCTCGGGGGCCATGTGATCTCAAAGAGCGATCACATGGCCCCCTATAGCTGGCTGTGGATCTGCCAGCAGGGGGACTGTCTGAAATGTCAGACAGTCCCCCTGCTGGTGGGAAGTATTAAAAAAAAAATCATTAGACATGTTTTCAAATAAATTAAATGTCTCTCTCTCTCTCTCTCTCTCTCTCATACACATCTTATATATATGTGACGTCCTACATAGTGTATTTTAATGTTAATATAAGTACATATATTAGTATTAAAATACACTTAGAATGACGTTACATATATATATAATACATATATATATATTTTATATTTATACTATAATAAAATAAATTAAAATATTTGTAAAAAAATTAAAATAAATTATATATACATATGTTATTTCATTCTAACTGTATTTTGTTATTAATATATATAGGTAACAAAATACACTTAGAATGATATTCTATATATATCTATCTATATATAAAATACAAATAACCGCAAATATATATATATATTTACATAAATAACTACATATGTGTACGTGTAGACTTTAAATACATATATATGTATATATATATTAAAATTCTACGTGTATATTCAAGTAATATTTTAACATAATTATGTGATTTTAATTAGTTAAAATTTGATTGACATGCCTGACAACCTAGGCAAAAAGTGCAGAGAATTTGAATTGCAAGCACTATATTTAACCCTGTAACTTTCCAGGACACCATGAAACCTGTACATTGGGGGTACCGTTTTACTCGGGAGACTTTGCTGAACACAAATATTAGTGTTTCAAAATGGTAACTTGTATTACTACAATGATATTTTTTGTAAAAGTGAAGGTTTTTTTTGCATTTTTCACACGAGAACGTCACTTTTTTCGCTTTTTTTCACTTTTACTGACGATATTAATATATTTTACTGTTTTAAAACACTTATTGTGTTCAGTGAAGTCTCCCAAGTATAACAGTACCCCCCATGTACAGTTTTTATGGTGTTTTGGAAAGTTACAGAGTTAAATATAGTGCTTGCAATTCAAATTCTCTGCACTTTTTGCCTGGGTTGCCTGCTCTAAAAACCGCTCCAGTTAATCACAGAATAAATCTCTGCACCACTCCCCAGGCAAATAGAAAATAAAGGCTGTAACAAGCCGTGCCTCTCAACAAATTAAACATTTTACTCTTTTATTAGATATTTGTAAAAACATCACACCAAAAAAGATGAATGTTGGACATACATAGAGAAAATCTCTGAAACTATTTTCAAGCAACTGTGTGGTTGTGACTAAATGCTATGCCCTGTGCTGTCTACATTGAAACGTAATTTTCTTAGCCTTAATTGCATAATCCCAATGGGAATCCTACTGATGCAAGATTACGTGCTTAGATCTATCACTGGTCTCCAGAGTCTTCGTAGACGGAACCCAGCTGTGTTTACCCAGTGCCAGCCATGTACATACAGTGCTTTTGTTCCTGATTGTAGCGATGTGCTGCATCCTCATTTATATTAGTAACATGAAACAGGAATAGGAGTTTCACAATTATTACCCATAGCAAATCATAAGCTTTACGTGAATAGGATCGGCTAGACTGTTGTTACCGAGTGCTACCCTAATTAATCATAGCTTATTTGTGCTCTGCACTCAAAAATAATCTGCTAATAGCAAAGATTGCACAATGCCTTTGCTAATTCATTTCAAGTGGTGGAATTTGTTATATTATTTTAGCGTTACATTAGATTTTCATATATCAGTGCGCACCTGTGTATTTGTAAGAACTGTATAATACTCATGTGATAGCTGGAACTGTCAGATAGGAACTTTCACGTTCTTTTCCTCCCACCCATATTCGCTAGATTCATGCATGAATAGGCAACCTTCGACACTCCAGATGTTGTGGACTTCATCTCCCCTGATGCTTTGCCACTGTTATGGTTCTAGCAGCATTATGGGAGATGTAGTCCACAACATCTGGAGTGCCAAAGGTTGCCTACTCCTGAGTATAGGTTTGTTGAGGATGGTGCATTAAGCCAGTCTGCCTAGTAGCTTTAATCTAGCATCTCCCATAGACCTTCTACAGTGCCCTGATTTTGGCACCCTTGTTTAATATGCGCAAAGAAGTCTTTGAAAATTTATCTGTATTGTTTAACATTTTGATTTAAAAAAAAAGAAGCACAAAAATACTCTGCTTTCATGGTGAGCATATATTTTTTGGTGGAGAAAAACCTGTGTTGTGTGTTCAATTGTTTAACCCCTCAAGGTCGGCGGGCGTTCTATGCCGTCCTTAAGGAGCTAAGCCTAAACACTGGCAGGCGGCATAGAACGTCCCCCTCCGTCCACCTCACTTACCTGATCCTCGCCGTTCTCCCACACTCCTCCCCCCCACCCCTCCAGACAGTCCTCTCCGACAAATTAGGCCTCTGTGCACCATGTGATCACTCTAAACTGACATCTGTAAAATAAGTGTGTATGTATATATATGTGTGTGTGTGTGTGTTTGTGTGTGTGTGTGTATATATATATATATATATATATATATATGTGTGTGTGTATGTGTATATATATATATATATATATATATATATATATATGTGTGTGTATATATATATATATATATATATATAATCTCGAAGGCTTGGCACTCTCCTTTAACATATCAAGATGAACTCTTATCCTGGTGCTATCCGCGTTTAGTAGATATTCTAAAATAAAGTGAGTGCACTCAAGGGATTTTTGGTGAATACATTTGGCTACTAAAAAAGAATGAACATACCCCATTTGCAATACCTTGGGTTGTCTACTTTTGCAAATGGTATGCCATCATGGGGGTAATTCTCATTCCTGGAATACCATTTGGTCTCAAAGGCAACTTAACCAGTCTGGCAAATTTCAATGTGTATAAACTGAAAAATGTAATGTGACCCTTTAACTTTCCAAAACACCATAAAACCTGTACATTGGGGTACTATTGTACTTGTGAGACATCACTGAATACAAATGTGTCTTTTATTGCAGTAAAAACTCACAGTATTATGCCATTCACAGTTAAATTGCCATGCAGAACTAGAATTTTGTTTTTTTAATCTTAATTTTCTCACACTTTTTTAGATTGTATTCAAAATAAATTATGTTTTATATATGAATAGTTAATGTGAAATGAAAGCCCTGTTTCTCCTGAACAAAATGATATATAATAAGTGTGGGTGCAGTTAATATGAAAGAGGTGAATTATGGTTAAACAGACATAGCGCAAATGCCAGGTTTTGTTTCCGTTTTGATCACAACTTGTACAATTGGCTCCATCTAAAGGGTTAATTCCATGAGCAGATTATTTTTAGAACAAATGGTTAAACAACAAAGACAATTTTTCTCAGCCTTCTTTGCTCATATTTAGCAAGGTGTCAATATTAGCGGAGACCACTGTACCTGGTCACTGTATCTCTCTCTCGCTCCCTCTCTCCCTCCCCCCTTGTAATTTTTGTACACCACCAAATGAAACTCTTTCTGAAATGGCAATCTTGGTAAAAAAAAAAAAAAGATATCCAGGTCTGTATACTTAGGAATAAAAGTTGGTTGGAACTCAATTGCAGATTAAAAAATAAAGAAATTCTGTCACTTTAAGAATGTTTAACCCCTTAAGGACACATGACGGAAATATTCCATCATGATTCCCTTTTATTTCTGAAGTTGTGTCCTTAAGGGGTTAAAGTAAGTCTTGTATTGCTTAGGTCTTGATATAACAGAATAACCTTTAGCAGCAATTCCGTCTTTAGTATGCAGATCCTTATTTGAATACTTAAAGGACCACTGTAGGTACCCAGACCACTTCAGCTTAATGAAGTGTTCTGGGTACCAGGTCCATCTAGGGATAACCCTTTCTGCTGTAAACATAGCAGTTTCAGAGAAACTGCTATGTTTACATATGGGTTAATCCAGCCTCTAGTGGCGGTCTCATTGACAGCTGCTAGAGGCGCTTCCGTGCTTCTCACTGTGATTTTCACAGTGAGAAGACACCAGCGTCCATAGGTAAGAATTGAGAATGCTGTCCTATAGTCTGGCTGAATGCGCACGCGGCTCATGCCGCGCATTCAGCCGATGACGGGGAAAGGAGGAGGAGGGTCTTAATCCCTTCCTCACCCTAGAGATCGGCGGGAGGGGGGCAATGAGGATGAGGGGGACCCAAGGACCCTATAGAGCCAGGAAAATGTATGTTTTCCTTTCACTATAGTGGTCCTTTAACAATGTCCAATCGAATTATATGCACAGTATATGTAGAAAGTAGGCAGAGTATATATGCAGGAGCTGTGCAGGATATATTCAGGTTTCAATTTAAATACAGAAATATATTGAACTGTGAACGGACTTTTGTATTGACTGGATTCATTCTTTGAGAGGATTAGACTGAATGACTTGAACGATACGGCAATTCCCAGTATAACAGACTTAGCTTGTTTGTGTAGGTTGGTGATTAGAGAGAGAGTCCTTTCCGTGTTTAAGAAGTTATCAGTTCCCACTACCTAGTCGTCACGAACTGTGATGCAAACAAAGGAGGTCTTTGGAAATCTCCAAGACTACTCCACTACCTCAACCCCCTAATCCTTACCTAACCCCATCCCCTGACTCCCCAACCCGACACTGACAGCAGAACGTGAGACCTCCTGAGACTACACACACCACAGGTACTTAGGGCAAAGATACCTCCACAACACCCGTCGACAACAACCTGACTCGACGATATGACACTGACCCCAGACCACTTACATAGCCTCACAATCAATGCTAAAGGCCTAAATAAACCAGAGAAGAGATCAGGAGCATTGAGAGACTTCCACAAACAGAGGGCCTCTATAGTCATGATACAGGAAACCCACTTTAAAAAAGGGACCAGATCTAAATTGACTAATCAGCACTACACGCAAGGATACTACAGTGACTATCAAGGGGGTAAGGCTAGGGGGACAGCAATACTTCTTCATAGGAGGGTGCCGTTCCAGGAGGGGGGATGCAAGTCAGATGACGAAGGCAGATACCTATTCCTTAAAGGGAAGATCGCAGACCACCAGTACACATTCGCAAACATCTATGCCACAAACAAACAACACTATCGCTTCCTCAAACAGACACTCCGCAAACTCCAAGAATTTGCAGAAGGGACTCTCATACTGGGGGGCGACTTTAATATAACACTCGACCCATCATGGGACAACTCATTGGGCATCTCCCACGTCCCCACACAACAACTTCAAACCATTAAATCCCTACTCCGGAGCCAGCGACTCGTGGAGAGTCCATCACCCAGACGTAAGAAACTACACCTTCTACTCCCACCCGCACAACTCTTACTCCCGAATAGACCACATTTACACTACACACTACGACCTCTCCCTAGTGTCCGATGTAACAATCGGAGTGGCCACATGGTCTGACCACGCCCCAGTCTTACTCAAACTTAAATCACCACTTTACCGCCCCACAACCTCGAAATGGAGATTGAACGAATACTTACTCTCCAAACTAGAGGTCGCAACCCTCATAGATGAAAAAATCAAGGACTACCTGACAACCAACACGGCACAGCAAACATCCCAGACGATTCGATGGGAAGCACACAAAAGTGTGATAAGAGGCCACTACATACAACAGGGGGCAATACTAAAGAAACAAGCTGAAGCTCGGCTACAGGAACTGCTGACCAACATACACGAGAGAGACAACCAAAACAAACAAACCCCGAACCACACGCACCAAACTCGACTCCTACAACTGAGACGGGAGCTAGCCACACTATTGCACTCTAAACATCACAGGGACGCTACTAGGCACAAAGCCTTCTTTACAATACATGGGAACAAAAGCGGCAAACTCCTAGCCTCGATGCTGAAGAAGCAGAGGCAACACACATACATTGACAAAATTAGAGACAAACAGGGGACCCTACACCGACTCCCGACAGCCATAATGAAAACGATCCGCACATACTACACAGAGCTATACACGCTCCCCCAACCGAAGACCAATGCGGCAACGACAAGCCTCAGAGACTCCATCCGAGACTACCTGACAAAATACCCAACACCGACACTCGATGCGGAGATAGCGGAGTTAATAGACAAACCCATCACAATAGAGGAACTAGCACTGGCGGTTAAACTAACTAAACCGGGCAAAAGCCCAGGACCAGACGGCTTACCGACTAAATATTATAAGACATACGCCGAATACTTATACCCACCCATGGTGGAAGCGTTCAATTCGATAACCACATCCACGGAAACCACATCCCCAGACAAGCCCTAACAGCCCACATCACTATTATTCCCAAGGACGGCAAAGACAGGGAACAATGCGGAAACTACAGGCCGATCTCACTTATAAATAGCGATATCAAACTACTGGCCAAAATTCTGGCGACTCGACTTACAAAACACATCCCATCACTGAACCACCCAGACCAGGTGGGATTCGTGACAGGACGAGAGGCTCGGGACAACACCATCAGGGCGCTCACCCTCATGCACGGGAAAGAAAGTACGAAAGTGGGCCTTCTCCTGCTGTCAACAGACGCAGAAAAGGTCTTCGATAGAGTCGGCTGGACATATCTCTTCGAAACACTAGCCCACGTAGGATTAGGACCACACATGCGACGCTGGATAGAGGCATTGTACCGAGAACCAACGGCCCAAGTGCTGGTCAATGGGGCGTTAACTGCTGCCTTCACAATACATAATGGCACGAGACAGGGATGCCCCCTCTCCCCACTCCTGTTCGTCCTTGCCCTGGGACCATTCCTTACACACATCTGACACAACACAGATATAACCGGCCTAATGACAGGCACTACACACCACAAGGTAGCCGCTTACGCGGATGACCTACTCTTTGTGGTAACCAACCCCGAAATCTCCCTCCCGAACATCCATAGAGACCTACAAATATATGGAGAAATATCCAACTTGAAAATTAACTACGGTAAATCGTTCATTCTTAACGTTAACGTCCCTACTGCACGGGCGGACCCCCTCCGACAAAGCTTCCCCTTCCAATGGGCCGAACACAAAATTAGATATTTGGGAGTCTGGCTGACCAAATGGAGCGAGGATATGTTTAGGGAAAATTTCACAGATACTCTCCAGACGTTCCAAAAAGACATGCGGGAATGGTCATACCCCCACATCTCATGGCTAGGGAGAGTTATAAAAATGAACTTCCTCCCACGCCTCCTATACCTCCTCCAAGCCATCCCCATCGAGATCCCGGGCCCCTTTTTTAACACTCTTAGAACAGAAATGACCAGATACGTATGGAACGGGGGGGAGACCCAGGGTGAAATTCTCCACCCTGACGCGACCTAAGGATAAAGGAGGATTAGCCCTCCCAGACTTCCACCTATACTACGTGGCCACACACTTACAGAGAATCGTGGAATGGTCAAAAGACGGAGTGCACAAATTATGGAAGACGGTGGAAGAGACAGAGGCGGGTAGACCGCTCTCGGGACTACCCTGGTGCCGAGACACGGCAAAATGGGGCGAAATGTCCACAAAACACACTCTGAAAGTATGGAGGAGGGCAGCGAGGAAGGGGACCATGTCGCTATACCCCTCTTACCACTGACGCACAACAACGACTTCCCCCCGGGACTAGACCCAAGAGCCTTCAAAGACATCCTCCCAGACATACACCCATGCTTACACCATGCCCTGCAGGGAGGGAAATGCAAAATACTGACAGACATGACGGGAGGGATACCCCCAACCTTCATGCATCATTTTAGATATACCCAACTAATCAACTTCGTCCATACTTTACCACAGGGCTCAGCGCTCACTAGGCAACATACCACACTAGAAGTGGTCTGCATGCACCCAGACCCGCTCCCACATGGAGTGTCCTTCCTATACACCATGCTACAAACGGACATCCCGACCGAGACACCCCTATTTATGGGGAAATGGGAGGCTGCCCTCTGATACACACTGACAGACACAGAGTGGAAGTCCATCTGCTATCTCACACACCACTGCTCTACACATAGCAAAACGCAAGAGGCAGCCTATAAATTACTAACACAATGGTACAGGACACCACACCTCCTCCACCAGATAGACCCAGACCAATCCGGCCTATGCTGGAGATGCCAACAAGAGGAAGGCAGTATAACACACATCTGGTGGGACTGTGCAAAGATCAAACAATATTGGCGGAATATACACAAAATGCTAGGGAAATTCACGGATAAACCACCCCCCCCCCGGAACTGGCAGCAATGCTCCTGCATCACACTTCTGTTCCCCACTCCAAATACAAAAGATCTATGACCATTCGAATACTCAATGTAGCCAAACGAGTGCTCCCCCAATTCTGGAAACAGAGCATAACACCCCCACTTAAGACCCAGGTCAGCCAAATGGAGGAACTCAGGACAATAGAGGAACTGACCATGACGACTAATGTTACCCTGACGACCTATATGGACATATTGGATCCTAAGATGGCGAAGGAAGGATTCCAAATGGAACTCAGATCCGACGAATGCCACACCACAGACAGATAGGACTTAGGGAACACACACTGGACAACAGACAATGACAGACAACTGACTACCCTAACACCCCCCACCCCCCACCCTAACCCCGACTTTCCTCCCCCCTTCTAAGGACCCACATGAGACAACAACCCCAACCCAAGCAGACACATGTACCAATAAGAGGAGACACCTGAGCCCTGAATGTTAAACTCATATGGACCCGGGTTTATCTCACGACCTACAAGGGATACCACCCCCGTGGCACACATAACGAACAGTCATGATAATCATTGGACAGCCCAAGGGCTACACCAAAATACGCTCACGCCCTCCCGAAATTATGGAACACAAACCCCACAACACGGACGCACCCTCACCCACACATACGACACTCAGGACACTGAGAGGAGAGACGCACGAATCCACTCAGGACACAATACACAAACCAAGACGAAGAGACCTGTGAGTCTCCTAACAATGGAGGTTGGACGAGAGGCACATTCTGTACACAAATCACAACTGCTATATACGAAACGTATAAACCATATACATACGGCTTGCTCAATAGGCCAAGTCGCAGAAGAAAAATGTAATTAAGAATACTCGTGACACTTGATAAAAGGGACTTGCAAGTCCGTCAACATTGTGGGCCTGCAAACCCAACTAAATATCAGTGTATTCTTATCTTCTGATAACTCACCTTGGAGACCTGCGAGTCTCAAAATCTTGAATAATCTATACAAATAAAAATTATATTCACAAAAAAAAAAAAAGAAGTTAGCAGTTCAGCAATGTCAGTTTGGAGTAAAGAGATGAGAGTAGTCAAAATCCATTCCGTGTCCAGGGAGTAAAGAGTTCAGTAAGGTTGGCTTGGTGGTTCAGAGGTTCAGCTTGGTAACACACAGTGCTCAGACGGCACTTGGTAACAAAATTAAACAAATTTGACTGAACACTTGAGATTACTTGCAGCTTTCTTTTAACACAGGTATGGGTAACATCAGAAGCATAGGCGGGGCCTGATCGGTGAACCAGGAAGTGCTGCACGGTGTATCTGCCGATCAGTAATCATGACATTCTGGAGTTGATACACACTATTACTTACAATGATAAAATAAATATATTTTATTAAAGGGACACTTCACTGTCCAAATACAAAAATAAATAACACTGTATAGTAGATATATCTCCTGTGAAATTCTGCATGCATTTAATTATATCAAAAATTAGTTCTAATCCGCTGCAAGCTCTCCCCATTTAACCCCACCCAGACTTTCTGTGATTGTCCAATCACAGACTTCCCAATGCAGCTCAATGAGAAGTATTTGCAAGAGGTAATTGCTATCTCTTGAGTTTAGCTCCACTGAGCTAACAAAACCAGGAAGTTACAGGACTGGTTGTTTTCTTGTAAACCATGTGAATTTAATAAGGCAAATTTATAAAAGTGCCAATTACTATTTAAAAAAATAAATAATAAAGTTGCACTCTTTACACATAAAGCACTTAAGCATGCTGAGGTACTTAATGGGTCTGGAGTGTGATTTTTAACTCTGATTTATCCTCATCTGATGCACATGAACAGCTTCTAGATGGATGAGGAAGCTACTGATTTCTCAGTCGTGGCCAGGGAAATGGTGACCCAAAATTATTTTATCCTTTAATCATGTGAGGTGGCAAATATATATTGCAGTTTCACATTAGCAGCACTTGGCTTTTAACAATCAACTATTCAATGGGATGGTCCTAAATTGCTCTTCCAATCCCTGTCCTGTATACATTATTTCCATAGTTGGGAGGTATGGCACCATAACCGTCTTTAAACTCTACTATAAAGAAAGAAAATGGTGAACATGTTTGGGTTTCATATCTATTTGGAAACTAAAATCATGATTTTGTAATAACGAAGACATATTGACCAAGGGGTGTAATTTTATTTTTGGAAGACTATTTTATACAAACTTGCCCTCTGGAATTGTGCATTGGATAACAAACACTAGATAATATGGCAATCTGTTTTGTGACATTGTGTTAATAAAATGGTTTTGTTATGATGAAAAATTGAGTAGGATTATTTTTGTCTGTATAATGTGCAGAAAGGGTTCAGAGCTTTGTACTCACACAGTGATAGAAATGTATACATTTGTTTTATCTCCCTTAACTGCATTTCTTCAAAAACATACTAGCTTATTCTAGTTTTGCATTGTGAGATCTAGAGAATGAAAACATTGTCAGGGTTATTAACTTAGATTTCAAGGTTAATTTCACATTCAGGGTAAAGATAGCGGAAATGAAAAAATGCTCAGTCCGCTATGGTTCCAGTTTTACTATTTTGACCTTAAAGGAACACTATAGTGTTAGAAACACAAATATGTATTCCTAATGCTATAGAGCGCTAGTCACTGTTTAGGTGACTAGGGCCCCGTTCCGCGGTGAATAAATCCCTCGGCACTGGTGACCTCTCCTCCTCCATCGACGTCTGCTCCCGAGTGGAGCCAAATGCGCATGCGCGCATTCAGACCTGCCCATAGGAAAGTGAGGACATCCAGCATCAAATTAGTGCGATTTGCTCAGTGAAACTGCTATGTTTTCAGCTGCAGGGTTAAAACTAGGGGGACCTATGACCCAGACCACTTCATTGAACTGAAGTGGTCTGGGTGCCTATAGAGGTCCTTTAAATTTGACATTCATTTTGAATTCTCCACTTTAGTCAATAACCCGTTATACAGGGAGTGCAGAATTATTAGGCAAATGAGTATTTTGACCACATCATCCTCTTTATGCATGTTGTCTTACTCCAAGCTGTATAGGCTCAAAAGCCTACTACCAATTAAGCATATTAGGTGATGTGCATCTCTGTAATGAGAAGGGGTGTGGTCTAATGACATCAACACCCTATATCAGGTGTGCATAATTATTAGGCAACTGCCTTTCCTTTGGCAAAATGGGTCAAAAGAAGGACTTGACAGGCTCAGAAAAGTCAAAAATAGTGAGATATCTTGCAGAGGGATGCAGCACTCTTAAAATTGCAAAGCTTCTGAAGCGTGATCATCGAACAATCAAGCGTTTCATTCAAAATAGTCAACAGGGTCGCAAGAAGCGTGTGGAAAAACCAAGGCGCAAAATAACTGCCCATGAACTGAGAAAAGTCAAGCGTGCAGCTGCCACGATGCCACTTGCCACCAGTTTGGCCATATTTCAGAGCTGCAACATCACTGGAGTGCCCAAAAGCACAAGGTGTGCAATACTCAGAGACATGGCCAAGGTAAGAAAGGCTGAAAGACGACCACCACTGAACAAGACACACAAGCTGAAACGTCAAGACTGGGCCAAGAAATATCTCAAGACTGATTTTTCTAAGGTTTTATGGACTGATGAAATGAGAGTGAGTCTTGATGGGCCAGATGGATGGGCCCGTGGCTGGATTGGTAAAGGGCAGAGAGCTCCAGTCCGACTCAGACGCCAGCAAGGTGGAGGTGGAGTACTGGTTTGGGCTGGTATCATCAAAGATGAGCTTGTGGGGCCTTTTAGGGTTGAGGATGGAGTCAAGCTCAACTCCCAGTCCTACTGCCAGTTCCTGGAAGACACCTTCTTCAAGCAGTGGTACAGGAAGAAGTCTGCATCCTTCAAGAAAAACATGATTTTCATGCAGGACAATGCTCCATCACACGCGTCCAAGTACTCCACAGCGTGGCTGGCAAGAAAGGGTATAAAAGAAGAAAATCTTATGACATGGCCTCCTTGTTCACCTGATCTGAACCCCATTGAGAACCTGTGGTCCATCATCAAATGTGAGATTTACAAGGAGGGAAAACAGTACACCTCTCTGAACAGTGTCTGGGAGGCTGTGGTTGCTGCTGCACGCAATGTTGATGGTGAACAGATCAAAACACTGACAGAATCCATGGATGGAAGGCTTTTGAGTGTCCTTGCAAAGAAAGGTGGCTATATTGGTCACTGATTTGTTTTTGTTTTGTTTTGAATGTCAGAAATGTATATTTGTGAATGTTGAGATGTTATATTGGTTTCACTGGTAATAATAAATAATTGAAATGGGTATATATTTGTTTTTTGTTAAGTTGCCTAATAATTATGCACAGTAATAGTCACCTGCACACACAGATATCCCCCTAACATAGCTATAACTAAAACAAACTAAAAACTACTTCCAAAAATATTCAGCTTTGATATTAATGAGTTTTTTGGGTTCATTGAGAACATGGTTGTTGTTCAATAATAAAATTAATCCTCAAAAATACAACTTGCCTAATAATTCTGCACTCCCTGTATGTCAAATACCTTTTAAAGTAAATGCTTTTAAAAAGCAGATTTGTTTAAAAGGAAACCTTTTTTTTTTCCTCTCTCAAGAATGCACAAGAGTTCTTCACTAAACTAAGAATTGTGGAGAACTAACCAGGTGAATTGCATGTTTTTGACCACAATAGAAGAGTTGGACAATCTTTCCAATTCTGTTGGTTTGTTCTAACATTGTCACTTTCATTATCCATTCTAACATACCGGTAACTGTTTTCAGTGAATAACCATGTTGGAGTGAAGATCATGCATTCTGCATTCTGATATTTAATGCCTCAAATCTGGCAGGACTGTCTTTATTGTAGACTAGCTTCTCTGAGACTTCAGAGAATGTCCTTAAAGATTACTGAAAAGCATACACTACAACACCATATTAAATGACCAGCGTTAGCATTTGTTGCACAATCTGCTTCCTTATCGCGGGGCTTAGGCAGGATTTGTTTCTGTACAGGGCACCTAGTTTTGGAGAAAGTTTTGAGTGTTTTTCAATGTGGAGGTCAAAAGATAGATTGGGGTCTACCAATATACCTAGATTTCTAAAAGCGTGAACTGCGGTCAGTGTACTATTTGATTTTGTTTTGATGCAAGTGGCGAGGTTAAGCTCTGAATTTTTTAATTTAAGTAATGTAGGTATCGTTCCAAAGATCATTGTGACCGTTTTGTCCATGTTTAGGGAAAGTTTGTTATCCACAATCCACTTTTCTACCTCTGCAAACTGGTTTTGGAGCCCATCCTCAAGCTGCTGTAAATTTAGTTTGCTTAGATTACTATGTTATCTGTGTACATGTGTACAGTTGAGGCTTTGCAGATTTTAGGTAGATCATTTATGAATAATGTGAATAGGAGGGAGCTGGGTGTAACGGATCGCCTGGCACCCCGACTGGGTACCTCCGTTGAAGGATGCTCCTAGCGCTTCCTGAGCACTCCAAGCACTCTGGCAGACACCACAATCACCGAACCGGAGAAACAAATAAATTCTCCCAAGCATATGAATGCTGTAGACAGTTGAATAGGAACCATACGAATAGGTTTACTCTCCTAGCAGTCAAACTGGAACAGCATACAATAAATCCTTCCCCCAATAATGAGACGACACTTCACTTTGAGGGTTAAAACAGGAACTCCTGTACTGTCACATACAGTCTCTTTTATTCCCAATCCACAAACATAGTACAGCCCACAGGGCGTTACAAAACAACCAATCAATCAGTACAATACACCCAGACACTCCCACACAAAATCCTCCCCTCTGCAGGTGATATGATTACTGAACACAATGGGTAATCTCATTATCACCGGCAGAGGAATACAGTTTTTACACAATATTTATAACTTCTAAAATATACATGTCACAAACATAAAACATACATTTTCATAGTCAATCCATTCAGGGGAACAACATATTAAAAAATGGCACAAATCAGACCAGGGGTTCAAAAGTTAAGGGAAAGTCCTTTGTGACTAAATGAAGCATGGCTTTCCGGCCCAAACCAGTTTCAGAGTCTTCTATCCTGGAGATTGAATTGAGAAGTAATTCAATTATCTCCCAGGACAGACACAAGACTCCATTAAGCACATGGTTGCAAAAAGACATAAAACACTTTAAAATACATAAAGTCACCTTTTACACATAACACACAGACATTTCACATATCCCCAGATAGCTGAGATCTGAGCGCACAAAACTACCGAATAGCACTCAGATCCTATTCACACAGTTCAATTGCCATGGAGCCGAAGTCTTTAACTACACGAATGGGCTCCATGGCATAGCTATCTGGGTTAACACATTCACATAAAGTCTGGTCCATAGTCCAAAGGCAAGAGGCGGGCAAGCAGCCCCCTCCAAGGACACGTGGCGAGGCCGGTTTCGCCACACCGGGTATGGAGCGTTGGGGAACACCGCATGTGCGGTCAGAAATGAACACATATTGCAATCGCTCTCATGCATATGACTAAAACCAGGTTAGCGGACAGTTGCCAGTACCTGAGTTTTTACATTTTTGCAATAGAATGCCATGGTCTACTGTGTCAAAGGCTTTGGCAAGATCAAAGAAAATGGCTCCAGTTAGATCTCCTTGTTCCATGACATTTTGTCTGTCATTGCAAACTTTTAAGAGGGCAGTAGTAGTTGAGTGATTTGGACGAAAGCCTGATTGATCAGAGGTCAGATTGTTGGATTGTTGCACTAGTTTTTAATTTTTAGATTATTATGGTGTTTATTAATGACACTAACAGAAAAGTCTAAAATTAAATTTCTCTACATAAGGTCTTTGTAAATTTAGCTGTGCCTGATCTGCATTTGTAATCGCTTTTGAGATTGCTTGTCATTCATTAGCTTAGCTATCAGTGCAGTGGCACAACCAAACAAGTAATTATTAAAGGCATTTGCTACATCTAGGTGGTGTTGCAGGTAGGGATCGACCGATTATCGGTTTTACCGATATAATCGGCCGATATTCGGTATTTTTGGCAATATCGGTATCTGTCAATTCAGATACCGATATTGCCGATAATACCTCCTAGGACCGCCAGGCTCATTACAAGCCCGGCGGTCCTGGGGGGGCGGAGAGCAAGCGCTTACTCACCTCCCAGCAGCTCCTCCAGCTCCCCAGTGTAACTCTCGCGAGACCCGCGGCCGTCAGAGCGTTGCCATGGATCACCATGGCAACGCTCCGCGCGACACGCTGGCCGCGAGCGTTACGCTGGAGGAGCTGCTGGGAGGTGAGTAAGCGCTTGCTCTCTGCCTCCCCCCCCCCCAAAGCTCAGCCAATGCCACTGGACCACCAGGGACTGCTATATCCCCCCTCCCTGGCCAGGCAACAAGCAGGGAGGGGGGGACAACAAAAATAAATAATAATTAATTAAATATAAAAAAATAATAATAATTTCATAAAAAATGCCCCCTCACACACTCCATTATATACACTACACAAACACACTGTGTATATAATGCAGTGTGTGTGTTTGTATAGTGTGTGTGTGTGTATACAATGCACACAAATACACTGCATTATATACACACACTATACAAACACACACACACACTGCATTATATACACACACTATACAAACACACTGTATATAATGCAGTGTGTGTGTGTTTGCATAGTGTGTGTATATAATGCAGTGTGTTTGTGTAGTGTGCATTATATACACACACTATGCAAACACACTGCATTATATACACACACTACACAAACACACACACTGCATTATATACACACTACACAAACACACACTGCACAAACACACACTGAATTATATAAACACTACACAAACACACTGCATTATATACACACACTGTACAAACACACACTCTGCATTATATAAACACACTATACAAACACACACACTCTGCATTATATAAACACACTACATTCACTATACACACACTACACAAATACACACACACTCTGCATTCATTATATACACACACTTTGCATTTAGTATATACAGCATTCACTTTACGCACACTACCCACACACTACACAAACACTCTGCTTTCATACACACTACACTAATACACACTGCATCCACTACACACACTAGACAAATACACACTGCATCCACTACACACACTAGACAAATACACACTGCATCCACTACACAAACACACATTGCATCCTCCACACACACTACACAAACACACACTGCATCCACTACACACACTACACAAACACACACAGCTCCCCTGTCACACTGCATCCACTACACGTGGCATGTATATTTTGTGCATTTACCTTTAGAAATAGTTTTTATTTTCTAAAATGGTAAATGTACAGAATATCGGCAAATTATATCGGCTATCGGCCTGAAAGTTCACAGAATATCGGTATCGGCTCTAAAAAATCTATATCGGTCGGTCCCTAGTTGCAGGGTTGTATTGTCCATTTTGACAGTGGAGTATTGGGAGTGGATTGTGCTGGTTTGTATGTTACTTTTGATTTTACAAAAGTTTCTTGGGTTTGATATGTTACCTTTTACCTTTTCATTGAAATATTGGGCCTTAGCCATTTTTGTTTGTTTTGTGCAATGCCCTTCGCTATTGCCTGTAGGCACAGGGATTTTTTTTTTCATGACGCTTGAACTTTTGACCACAAAAAAAAAATCTCTAAACTGGTACATTTGAATGAAGTCAGACCTCCGATAAGTTACAGCGACAGAGCAAGTGTTTAATAATTTGTTTTCTAATTTGAGGTGTGTGCTTGTGGGGGTAGGGATTTGAACATGATAGGAGTGAGAAAAGGGTTACCAAGAATATGAGGTAGAGGTATGTATAGGAGAGGTGGAGATGAAAACTTGAAAAAATAATTTATTCAATAAAAATACTAATAAATAATATATGGTATTGATTTGGAATATGAAAGTGGAAGTTTTTGTTCCTTAGAACTAAATTCATTGGAATTCAGTCATTGGTGATAGCTTGTCAATGCTCTGTTTTTTCTATGAGAACTCAACTGCAATCTTTGCTTTTAATTAATTTTATGACTTTCTCCTGTAAAATATACATTAATGTATTTTTTATTTTTTTTTGCCAGAGTTTTTGTGCAAGGAATGCCCAAGGATTCATATTGTTTTTGAACGCGTTGATGTAAAAGATATTCCGAAAGAACAGATATTCATGAGACGATGGCTTCATGAACGTTTTGAAATTAAGGATAAGTATGTTTTCGTTTTTTTGTTATCATTGGTATTTTTAATTTCGTTCATCATTTAGTCATGTACATTTACTTGCAACATGAATTAAAGGGACATGCCTACTTAGCTTATGATGCAAAGTACTCCTGTTTCCCTGCATGTTTTGTCTGTGAGCCCGCATGCAGGGAAACTCTGCTACCTTCTTCCTGTCCTAACCTGTACAGGAACTCACAGCTTTGTACAAGAGAGCCAGCATTGTACTTATAAATGTGCACTTTTTAAAAAGAAATATTTATTTTTTGCTGCTTAAAGCTTTGTGAATGGTTAAAGGAACCTCGAGTGGCTGTTTAGGTGTCTCTCCCGAATGGAGCTAACACGTATTTTACTCACCATTTCTCCCATGTCACTGTGGTAAGCATTCACTGCCTCCATGCAGAGTGTGGAGAGGCTGAACGGATATAGAAGCCATCTCTAGTGGCCATCTGAGTGACTGCCACTAGAGGTGTTATTAGGTAGCAATGTAAACAAAAAAAGCCTTCATTAAAAAGCCTTCATAGACAGTCTCTAGACACCAGATCCAATACATTAAAGGACCACTATAGGCACCCAGACCACTTCAGCTTAATGAAGTGGTCTGGGTGCCAGGTACCTCTAGGGTTAACCCTGTCTGTTGTAAACATGGCAGTTTCAGAGAAACCGCTATGTTTACATATGCGTTAATCCAGCCTCTAGTGGCTGTCTCATTGACAGCTGCTAGAGGCGCTTCTCACTGTGATTTTCACAGTGAGAAGACACCAGCGTCCATAGGAAAGCATTGAGAATGCTTTCCTATGGACTGACTGAATGCGCGTGCGGCTCTTGCCGCGCATGCGCATTCAGCCGATGACATCCAAAGGAGGAGGAGGGTACCCAGCGCCGAGGGAGCACAGCGCTGGAGAAAGGTAAGTGATTACCTCCAACTTCAGCCTGGCGGGAGGGGGGCCATGAGGGTGGGGGCACCCTCACGGCACTATAGTGCCAGGAAAACAAGTTTGTTTTCCTGGCACTATAGTGGTCCTTTAAGCTGTAGTGGTTCTGCTGACTATAGTGTCCATTTACATTTGTACAAATGTTTTTTGTTTTTTTTACTGTAATTATTTCAGATTTAGGACACTGGGTGTGTGCATTTACATATGCTGTTATTTATGTGTGTTTGAGTTTATGTGTGTGTGTGTGTGTGTGTGTGTGTATGTATGTATATATATATATATATAGTGTGTTTGTATATATTTAGATATGTGAATATATATATTTTTATTTTATTTTATTTTTTTTACTAGATTGCTATCAGAATTTTACGAAGCCACAGACCCCGAACAAAGGAATAAGTTTCCTGGAGAAGGACGACCTGCCAAGCTCAGTTTGAAGAGAACAGTGCCTTCCTTATTACTCTTAACTGGAGTGACAGCAGGCATGCTTTATACTGAAACAGGAAGAAAGATTTATATAAACACATGGATTTACGGGACATTAATTGGTTGCCTGTGGGTTAGCATCAAATCCTAACTAAACTGTTCATTTCAAATTTGCTGCATATTATACCAAAACATTTTTTTTTTTTTTTCTAATTGAAAATGTGTAAATACTGCCTTACTTGTGATTACATTAGATGAAATTGAATATATGACTAATGCAGGACTTATTAGTCAAGGAATCAAGCACTGTTGAATTTGCTAGCAATTTCACACCTAGAAAGGTGACTTTACACACACCCCCCAACAGAAATAAAAGTACAAACCTTTTTCATTACATTAGTTGTGTGTTTTGCATATACACATTCATTTTAATCCCTTTAAGGACAGGGCCTGCTCTACTGGTGGTCATTTATTTAATTGTGCCTTTTTCTTTGTTTACCCCTCTCTCCTTTTACCTCTCCAAACGTGTTTTGATTTCACATGCCAAGAATTATAAAACATTGATTAACATCTTACCAGAGTCAGGAAAAATGCATCCAATTAATTGGATCTGTGGTGCTAAATCACACATGTAAGGAATGCATGTCTCTTGGTTTCTGACTTTGTTTTTTGTTGTTGTTTTTTTGCATGTTTAATGTTTTGTATATTATTCTTAATCAAGATGCTTTGATTTCTCTTTTTTTTTTGTCTTCTGTGTTAGTTGTTTAGTACATTTGTGCCATACATATAATATCATATTATTATTGTTTATATTTATGGTGCTATCCAATATGTTTGCCATTGCACTGCCGTATTATATGCTTTTGAAAATCCAAGGAAATGCTGAAGCATGTGCCTCTTCTTTTTTGCTTAATTTATAAATGTATAGCTTTCTTGTTGATGTCTTGTTGTGTTAACCATATATACATTTATGGATTTGTTTAAAATAGTAGTTCTTAGAAAAGTTACTTACCAGACTCTGCTCATGCAGGATCTAAGTTTAAATTTATGTTCAGACTTATTTAATTGACACTTTATGGTACGTCATACACCTTTGTTCAGCCAAGTATAAGGAATACTGTCCTGTTTCAGTTTGAGTACCTCATGAGTCCTAGATTTTCATACTTGTTACAGTAATTCCAGTTATGTGTTAAACGTAAGCGCACATAAGTGCCAAGTTGTGTTTATGAGAAATTCCATGCACCGTGACAACTATGGCTCCTTTACGTGGACATGCTGCTAGGCCCAGAGGATTCCATGGCACCTTAAGCCCACCCTTTCAGCTGCAGATGTGAAAAGATTCACTCTTTTTTATTATCCGTCCAAATATTGTTTGTGAGAACACTTGCATACATACATATGCAATGAGAAGCTGTGAGCACAGGGAAGGTTTCCACAGCTCTTTTGGGACATGCAGATCAATGTTTACCATTTCGGACTGGCACCCGTAACCAGTGCAATGCCTCTCATGTTATATAAATATTTGGATGGAGATGGTTGGTGGGCTAGGTCATAGGATTCCAGGGAATCCTACAGTTATTGCTGTACCGCTTGACAAAAGCCAATGGAACTGCACACTATAATAAAATTGATATGGTTTTATTTGTTTGTTTATTGTTATACATATTATTTTTTTATTTTATTTCTTTTACCCATGCAAATGTAGCTATGTATTCTTAACATTTTAGCAACTGTTGTATAATACACTTAAACATATTCAGAGGATTACCAATACAAAAAAAGACATTAATGAACCGTACAGTTTTTAGTGCATTATGTTGATAATATAATATTGATAATGCATTATTGTATACATCCTTGTCCAGCAGGAGTTTATTGGAAGTTTAGTTTATCCCCCCAGCTGCAGTTCTAGGATAATTGGAACTGCCCAGTAAGCAGATGGTACCAATACTGTGGGATCATCCTGTTCACAGTTTGGTTTGCCATCTTGTTTACTGGATTGTTTCCAGCAATTTGATCAGATTGCTTTCCTACGTGAACATATATAAAGGATACAAAATAGTTTTGTTGTACTTTTTTTCTTTTGCGCTCCTACTTGATGCCCGTTTGCAGTTGTGTACAGAGGAGTTATCTGCTGCACTTAAATTACAATATATTATATTTTTTATTTGAAATAAAATATTACATGCACCATACGCCCTGTACGTTAATACTTAATATTACCTCATTTTTGGTGCATCTGTGTGGGGACAACCTTCTTTAAAGTGCAATTGTCATTTTTATTGAAAATGACCCATTTCCCTCAACACATTAAGTAGTGCAGAGAAAATAAAGAAAAAAAAAACCTTTCTGTGTCTATAGCAATTTCTACGCTCCAAGAGGTTGCATACAGTGCAGTGCAACCTAAACAATAGAAAACTTTTCATTGGCAAATAATTGTGCCAAAATCTTAAATTTGTCAGTTCAGCTGTTAAAAAAAACCTGCCACTACCCAGGGTTACTTATAACATGTATTTAACAAATATGTGTTCGTTCGAGAGATAAATCCACACGCTTGATTCTGCAATTGGGTGCATCCATACTGGCTATATCTCAGCTCATTGTTATAAGCGCTACCCTTTGCATGTGGCAGCATAGAGAAAGCATACAGAGAAAAGAAAGAATTAAACAAAATTGGAAATTTATCATACTGTTCTGAAAAGGGTCTTTTTATTTTGGATTTTAATCTGGCCAAATTTATAAAGTTTCAAAATGGTCTACAAAATCGGCAACTTTTTTCTACCTAAATTTTGCTATTTTTTTTTTTTTTTGTAGAAATATCAAGTTCAGAAATACCTCCCAAATTTCTAGTGGAGGAAATAGAATTTTATGGTAAAACAATTATTAAAAAGATTGTTATATATGTTGCATCACTGAACGGCTGGCATATATTAAAAATTTTTTTTTTTTTTAAATTAAATTACAAGTATGGCACAAAGGTGACAGAAGAAGAAGAAGAAAAAAAAAAAGAAATTGCACCGGAAAAGGGGTTAAAACTGTATTTCATACTTTATTTTACAAATCCCCCAATATCTATATTTCTCTTAATTTGCTACCTGTGACCCAGTTGTGCCTGGACAATGTATTTTTGCTAAATATTTAAAGTATATTTTTTAAAATAAAGTTTTTAAAAACTCACATGTAAAACAAACATGGCTTTGAATGTTTTTCAACAGTATACTTTCCATAGACGTCACGGTTTGCCCTTAACTCTTCTTTTGGTCAAGCACATATTACTCCAAACCAAAGTTATGTATTTACTCAGGAGCTAGACGTGACAAATCTTGATGTCATACAGTTTCCAGCTCCTCAAAGACACGTTTGTTTTTTCCCAATCCATGGCCATTGGTCAAGTAAATAAGGTTTCTAGCCAAAGAAGAATTAACAATGCACTAAAAAAGAGGTATTTATTGATATGTACACATTGCAAATAATTAAGTTTACAATATTTAATCACGTACAGGGCTAAAGTAGCTAAACTGGAAGCATAACTGACTTTTCCTTGTTACCTACAATTTTTAATTCTTTCTGAATTACCAATAGTACTTACTTTAGGAAATAAACCCCTATTATGTCACATGCTATGAGATAGAAAGATATATATATATATATTTCTATGTGTGTATGTGTAGTCTGATTCGGTGGGATGTTGTGGTACTTTAAAACACAAGTTACATGTGTAATGGGTAGGAGAAAGATTAATGTGTAAATGAGATGCCTTCAGATGAAGAAACATCCCTTATGTTTATTAGTACTTTGATCTCTCCCCAACCTCTACAATCAGGAGTAAAAAGGGAGTTGTAGTTGACACCCTGTGGAATGCAGGAGGATGCCCATTTCTACCCTACGATCAGTCTTTGCAATTATTGAATATTAAGGAGTCCTTTTCATGTAAGAGAAAGAATCCTCTCTTCGGAATGTGATTGTAGGGTCCTTCCGGTCTGCATTAATTTAACACTTTTGTTATCACGCAAAGTCATCTCATTTTATTTATGAAAATGTATTTTGCAGGGGGTTTTTTTGTTTGGAGAGGAACTGCATTTGTCACGTAATGTATGAGCAACATGAATGAATAATATCCTATTCATGCATTATATATTAGTTTGGTTACCTATATCACGTCCGTTTACCCAAAATCAGATTTGACATGTGTTTATGTGTACAATACTACACCTATCTGTGATAAATGTTTCATTGTATTTGTGATCTAAATGTTTACATAAAGTGTCAGTTATGTGTAGTTTTGCTACTGTGGCCTTTTGTTTTTCCTTCCACTAGTCATGTCTGGTTTAAACAGCCCAGTTCTATTCCTATGCTTTTAGTAGTTCAGAATTTGCCTCCCAAGGAGGTTAAGTTGCGATTAACTTACACAATAACCCAAAAAAACAAAAGCATTTGCAACGGAAGGTACATAAGGTCAGAGTTGGATCTGTGACATTTGCAGTAGGTTAACATAAAACATTGTTTTGTATAAAACCTAAAATTAATGCCCTAGAAAGTGGAAGCTAGAATTAAAGAGCAAATTTTCATCATGGGTCCTATGGACTTTCAGTTTGAATGCTATAAATCCTTTTCATGGTGTGTGCACTTTAATTTGTTTGCTTGACATAAAAAATATATGCACAATAGGAGCAATCATATTAGCAACAGACCATTTGCTAAAACTTATAAAATTTTTACACTTTGCAATAGTATATGTGACTGTGAAACAAGTGAATTTACTATACTATTATATTTCATTTCATAAACCTTTAAGTATATGCGATATAGTTTAAATTCTGCGCTTGAGTTTATCTTGCCATTAATCTTACCACTTGTATAGCCATAATTATTTTGCTGTGTACACGTCTGATGTTGTTTTATACATAATAAACTATTCTTCTTGCATATTGCTTGTGTTTTGTAGTTTGTTTATAGTTTTACCATATTTTGGCATCTAAAAGGAATTCTTGCTTCTGCATTTACACAGCTAACATGAGGCTAATATGGTGACGGGTATATGCATTACAAAGAGGATTTATTGCAAAAAAAATCAAAATTCAAGTAAATACATGTAGAAAGGAATTATTTGAAGAAAATACGTGGTACCAATGTACATCATTGCTGTCACTTCTCACTTTATCACTGGACTCACATTTACTTGAGTCTGAGGATTTGTGAGCATGTGTGCGTGTAATAATTCCTTAATTAAGTGAAATGTATCTGTTACAGTGATGTTTCCTGCAGCTCATTAACAAAAAAATACTAAGATACTCACTTGTGCAAATGAATGTCATCCGCTCTCATTCATGTCAACGAGGATATCCCTGTCCAAAGGTTAATAAAAAACATAGACAAGGGTTGTGTTTGTTAGAAAACATAATGCACCACTGTAATGCAAAATAAGGACACGTTTTTTATGAGCGTTTCATTTCTCTATAGCTATGCTTTTAAAAGTATTGTTTGTTAAAAAAAAAAAGTACACCTATCATCAATCCAACATTGTCTTTAATTGTTACTGTTATTTTCTATCTACAAACCATATGAATAGGGTTGTCTTACAGAACAAGAAGTAATGAGGGCCGTGCTCAAACAAATTTACAATTTATTATTATTTTTTTGGGTGACTTGTTTATCTTTGGGAACAATGGGCACACTGCATCATTTGGGATCATCCTCTCTTGCACAGTGGAAAGCTGAGAGGAACAATGCAAGGTTGTCACTATTTACAGAAATATACTTTTATCACTAGGATTTGAAAATTGAGAATCATTTCAAAGATCATCTTTAAAAGTATTAAATCTTCAGTAATTACAGCTAATTTGATCGGTTTGATTAAAATATAAATCTCTCAAAAATGTTTCTTACAAATGGTTGTAACCATTTGCTACTGGAGGTATGACTCCACCTCCAGTAGTGTCATAGGGCATTATCAAAATGAGTTCTTTGCTGGCTAATATTAGTTCCATGCAAAGTTTGATGCATATACACTCATTCATTGGTGATAGTGTCCAGATGTCATAAACCTGCCTACAGATGAGACCTGGCAGAACCAGGTAGGAAAGCAAAACATTGTAAAACTGTTTGCCCCGTTACCAGGGAACGGTGCCACTGTACTCCTACCAGTATAACCACTACAATGCGATGGTAGCCCTTTAATTTAGATTAATATTCTCTTATCTCCAAATAAAACAGACACTTATATTTGTAAACGTACACATACACGTATATTGCAACAAGCACATTTCAATATAATAATGTCTATAAATTATTCACCCTCAAAAGTATTTACAACAGATTGCAATGTGTACCCTGAAAAATAATGATATAACCTTAGAGTCCTTAAAGGAACTTTGAACTTGTAGTGTTCTTTCAAGGGACCTTAACCATTATATGTTAAGTCCGTTGTTATAATAAGAAGATATAGGCATATCTGAAACTTTAATTTACATAAAGCATCTGAAGAAATGTCCTCTATTGCCGGTCAAACACAACCATTAATTCTGACAGCCCACAGATAATATAAAACATATTAATGTTTTCTCTGGCAACTAAACTTGAAATGAAGCATATTATTGTTTTTAATTCATCAAAAGGACGACTACATCTTAATGAGGTGGTTTTGGTGCATCAAAGCTGCCCCTTTTTATTTGGCAATGTAAAAACTTGTCATTTCTAAGCAAATGAGAAGCATTTGATTGGCAGAGCACATATGATACTATTTCCCTACTAATTCAAGCATTGGGTTGTACTAAAGTCAGCATAACTGACAACTTCATTGAAGATAGAGAGGCCATACCAAGAAGAAAATACCTGCTTTAGATTACATTATAGTGGGGGGGGGGCGAGTTGTTTTTTTTTTTTATGGGGTAGGAGATTATTTTTATCTAATTAAAAACAATAGGCCCAGGTGATTAGCAGTGTTTGGTGTCCTCCAAACATGACACTTTGAATTAAAGCTAAACAGTTTAATCTTCAGTTCATCAGACCAGATAGCCTTGGGTTTATGCAGTTAGAGAGCCCTTTAGGTACCTTTTCCAAACTCAAAGTGGACTTTTGTGTGTCTTGCAGTAAAGGGAGGCTCTTGTCTGGCCAGTTTGCCATAAAGGTGTTGCTGTGATGCTTGTCCTTCTGCACGTTTCTTCCATCTTCACACGTGATCTCTGCAGCTCAGCCAGCTTTGACCATCACATTGCTTTGGCCCTACTCCCTTGATTGCTGAGTTTGAACAGTTCTAATGTGAACAGCTCTAGAAAGAGTCCTGGTTGTACCAGACTTTCCATTTAATAATTATCAAGGCCGCTGTGTTCTTTGAAACCTTCAATATAGCCCAATAATTTGTGGCCTTTGTGGATGTGTGTTTTGACACAATCTGGTCTCGGTTTAAATAAATCTGAAAAATGTAAAGCTATCCTGTAGTACTGTTAAATTATTAACTCTTTTTGATTCTAGTTTTGTGTATTTCATATTGGCTTTTTGGGGGGGTGGGGGGAACAAAAGATTCATATAGAGCAACTATTTTATTTGACCTTAAGATTGTTTACACGTCACATCCCATTATGCAGGGCTCATTGGTTACTCTTGATGACAAGCCTGGAATGTTCAGGGCACATTCATATGGCTGGATTTTCACTTGTCCATGTGTTCTGGTGGACTGGGGGTACAGGGGAAAGTGAGTAGCACTTACTCTTGAGTTACACTTAAAGGGACACTATAGTCACCAGAACAACTACAGCTTATTAAATTTGTTCTGGTGAGTAGAATCATTACCTTCAGGCTTTTTGCTGTAAACACTGTCTTTTCAGAGCCACTCCTCAGATGGCTGTTAGAGATCCTTCCTGTGTCATGGCTGCCTAAAATGCATCCAAACATTCAGTGTCTCCTCCCTCTGCATTCAGATACTGAACTTTCCTCATAGAGATTCATTGATTCAATTCATCTCTATGAGGAGATGCTGATTGGCCAGGGCTGTATTTGAATCATGCTGGCTCTGCCCCTGCTCTGCCTCCTTGTCAGTCTCAGCCAATCCTATGGGGAAGCACTGTGATTGGGTCAGGCTACCACTTCTGATGATGTCAGCAGACTGCTTGTTTTTTTTTAGGCAAACATCATGCAGAGTTACAGCTTCAGGCTTGAATACAGTAATATTTTGCTATATTTATGGAGGCATGAGGGGCCCAGGGGGGCTAGATGGTGGTTTTAACACTATAGGGTCCGGAATACATGTTTGTGTTCCTGACCCTATAGTGATCCTTTAACTGAACTTGTCCTCTGCAGTTGTCGCCATGATTTTCTGTTCAGTGCTCTTTAGTTCCTAGTACTTCAGCTACCAGGAGCCGATGTTAGAGTTGTACTCTTGCTCATGCACCAATATCCCACGAAATTGCAGGATCCTTCACCCGCCTTGACTCTGCCTTTTTGTCAAGCGGATGAAAAATACTGAGTATATCTTGTCTCAGTATATCTTTTGATTGGGTTGGAATTTCAGTGAAATTACAGCATAGTCAATGTGAGTATTTCATAAAGCTTTTATTTTTATTAAATACTCATTTTGGAGAGCAGGTGTGGTGCGGTGTGACAGAGCCTCTTTAAAGAACATTACACTTAATTTACGTTGCAAAAGTCTTCTAATTTATAAGGTAAATAGATCTCTGGAGCACGTTATTTAAATATCTATTTTGTGAACTCTTTCCCCTTTCTAAACAGTGAATATGCCAACTAAACAATTCTGTTGATTTATAAAGCAAAATTCAGTTTAGCCTATCAAGCCAAATGTACTCATGATTTTTGATAAATGGAATGCACATCACTCAATTCTGAAATCAATGGGTGGGCAAGGAATAGCTGAATTAACTCTGTCACTTCGTGGTCTTTATACAGTAGGGGGGAAAGTATTTGATCCCCTGCTGATTTTGAACATTTGCCCACTGACAAAGAAATTATCAATCTATCATTTTAATGGTAAGTGTATTTTAACAGTGAGCAACAGAATAATAAAAAAAAAAAAATCCAGAAAAACGCATGTCAAAAAAGTTATACATCAATTTATAACTTTTTTTGACATGCGTTTTTCTGGATTTGTTTTTTTGTTATTCACTCTCTCACTGTTAAAATACACCTACCATTAAAATTATTGACTGATTATTTCTGTGTCAGTGGGCAAACGTTCAAAATCAGCAGGAGATCAAACACTTTTTTCCCTCACTGTAGATACGTATTAGCAGCAAACAAGGAAATGTCTTGCAATTTTATTAATCTCTTGCCTTGTAATGCATTTTCTCCTGTTTTGTTGCTATTACCCAAATTGGTCTTTCCAACCTGAACTAGAATATGATTTTTGGCAAAATCCAAAGTGTCCTTTTAATAGCCATATGGAAAAGATTTTAGTGTTTCATATTTTCTCTTATCATTTATGAATTGACCACTTATAGAATGTTTAGACACAGAGATTAGTTTTACAGCTTAGACCGAAATGCATTATGCTATTTATCAGAGCTACAGATAAGTAAGAATTTATGAACCATGGTCATTCTCAAATATTTTCTAAAATGTATTTTACCCATTTATTATTAGAGGAAGAAACATGAAAATGAGCAAAATGGTCAGTGAGACACTTTTTAAAAATTCAGAATCTCATTATACATATTTAGTGATTGTAGTGAGAATTCAAGGTGAATTTAAAGAGAATTTGCAAATATTTTTTTCATTGACAAAGTTACCAAACAGGAAGCATAACTGACTTGGAGAATTTTTACAATTCAGCTATTTTGGTCTTACATTTGAAAATCACTTTGAATATACTTGTACTGCTCACTTTAGTGAATAACCCTGATATAGTTTTGTATAATATGCATGAATGTTTTATGGCTTGATCAAGACACCTAGCATGTTGAAACATTGACAATTTGTG